GGAGTCTTGCTCAACATTCCCAAATATATTGAACTTTGACAAATTTTCTCTCCTCTCTCCCTTGCCCAAGAGTCACAGTGTTCTGGCCAGCGAAGGTGGGACGTGGCTCCAGGAACAGAGACACCCTGCACAAAGGGTCAGACTGTAGTCAGATTTCAGGGATGGCAGGTCCAGGACACAAGTCTGGAATGGGGGCTCCAGTGCAATAGTCCCTTTTCATTGCTTGTCTGAGACCTCAGTGTCTGATTGTGAAGTGCAGGCTCCCCAGGGAGATGGTGCAGGTGGCCACAAGGTTGCCACTTCAAGGGAAGTCCCATGCAGAGTATTTCTACCCTGTGGTAGCCCATTCTCAAGCTGCACCTCCATAGGTGGTCACCGTTTGATTCCAGCCATGATCATCACCCTGGCTATGGTGCCCTGTTTGTTCTGACCTCTCTCTCCTGTTCCTCTAGGAATAACTCAAATCAACAAAAATGTCTTGGCTGAGCGCTTTCCCTGAAGGAGGTAGTTTCACATCAGATTTCTAAACGAATCCTTTCTGCAACACTGTGAAGGATGTTACTGCTTCCATTCTACAGATGAGGAAAAGCTGAACTTATTTGCTCAAGAAATTGGTAGGCCTACAATTCTAACCTAGGTCTACTGTCTCCAAGTTCAGTTTCTCTTCCCACAGCTGCCTCCCAGGCGGGACAAGCCAGAATACTCTAAAGGAAGTTTACAGAAGGCTAAGAGAAGACAGAGGTGAGAAACCCAGAGCCAGCCATGCTTCCAGAGGTCCTGATGCAGCTCCAGAGGCCTTCACAGGGTCCAAGCTGGTCCCATGTCAGCGGTTTGCATCCTGTCTGATGCTACGCCCAGAAACCTCTTTAGAGCTGAAATGCCCTTTTCTCTCCTCCCTTCTCTGCCTACAGAATCTTGGGGGAGGAGTGAGGTTCTGTGGCTCTTGGAGAAACAGTGGGTAAGGCGTGCATATCACAGCCAAGAAAACTGAGCCTTGGGCAGGAGCCATTTCCCATAACAGACTGCCCCTCATTGCAGATCCCCCAACCCGCCCCACACCTTGCAGTGGACGGATAGCAGATCAAAAGACTGTCTTCTCCCACCTCCAGATCTACCCAAACCCAGCGCCTAATCCGTGCTCAGTGCCTGCAGTGTCCTATCCCACACCCCAGCCAGTTTGGGGGTTACCTGTAGCTGCCACCCCCACATCTCCCTCCAGAATGAAGGGGAGAGGAGATAACAATAAGACCACTAGAGATGGAAGAAACCTGAACAAAGAGAGCAATATTTATTTCTTATATATGTGTTTAAGTTGCATAATATGCCCCAGTGCCTCATGGGAGTGAATGGGAGTAAATACAAGCAACTTGACTGCCTCTGGACAGGTGAAGTCCCCAAAAGACTGCAGATGTTTCTGGTGAGGGCTGGGAGCCCCCCGAAGAAAGGCCAGACCCAGAGCCCACCCAGAGGCAGCAAGGGGGGGTGCCAGCACTAGAGGACACAGCCCTGCTTTGCACATTTGACTGTTAATCACGCTTCATTCGCTCTCCAAAGTATCCCAGTTTGATTGTTCCCCACAAACTCTACAACTGCTGACTCGGTAAGTCTCCAGGCTTTGTAGGTGGGGAAATGATGTTACGTCTGACTTTGTGCAATGAACTTCGTATCTAAAATTCTGCTGAGTGTTCCAGTGAAGTTCCCACAGAGAGCTGCTTTCTTTCAACCTCAGCTTTGAAGAGCAGGGCAGCAAAAGACACTCCCATGCCATTGCTGGGCCCCAGGGAGTCTTCACCCAGGGCTCAGTAGGTGGCTTGGTGTCTGAAGAGTGTGGCAAAGGGCAGCCAACCCTCTCCACAGGCACACATCCCAGGGTGGGTGCTTTCAAAGAACTCGAGGGCAGAATTATTCATCAAACCAGAATTATGCCTTTCTTATACCTGGCCTATTCCTCTTATCCAAACAAGATTTTGGCCCTGGCTGGTTTGGCTCAGTGGTTAGAGCATCAATCCACGGACCAGAGAGTCCCGGGTTCGGTTCATACTAGGGGCATATACCTTGGTTGTATTTTGTCTCTGGCCCCAGTTGGGGTCATGTGGGTGGCAGCCACTCGATGTGTCTCTCTCACATTGATGTTTCTCTCTCTATCTTCCTCTCTCTCTCCCTCCTGCTCTATCTGAAGATAAATGTAAAAATGTCCTCGGGTGAGGATAAAAAACAACAACAACAAAGATTTATGGCAGCTTTTATTTAAAATATTAAATATATTCAAGATAGTCAAAAGGAAAGGCCCCAAATCTTATGAAGGATAAAGAAAATAAATGAAGATAAATATACTTAGAGTACCCAAACGTCCTGCCAGTCAAAATAAGAAGGGAGAAGCAATGTGTTCCAGAGTCCTCATTGAGAAGTGGACAATTTTCCCGATAGATTCTAAATGGATTCTTATTTTTTAAATTGATTGATTTGAGAGAGAGAAAGAGAGACATCAATTTGTTCCACTTATTTATGCATTCATTGGTTGTTTCTTATATGTGCCCTGCCTGGGAATCAAACCAGCAGCCTCACAGTACATGGGATGATGCTCAACTAACAGAGCCACATTTTTGTCTCTTAGAAGTGATCAAATTTATTTTTGTCATGACCAAAATGAGTGTTCAACACCAATTTCTATGAGTACATATTCTGTGAGCATCCATTATATGTAAAACATAATACTTAAACCAGAAATGATAAGGTATACAAAAATAAGGTGATTTACTGCATTCAAGAAGTTTAATTTCATGGGCAGAAATATAAGAAAATTATGCAAAGTAAAAGCAAATAAATCTTAAAGAGATGTGTGAGCAAAGGGCTGTAGGAACCCAGAGGAATTTGGTTTGAAGAGAAAGACTCTGTGGAGGAGACAGTATTTGAATTGATTTAAAAAAAAAAAATTACTTTGTTTGACAAGATGATCAAGGGATTCCAGGCTGAGAAAATTGCAAAGATTTAAGTGTGAAAATATTGGCCTGCTTTTAGGAATACTGGGTAGAAAAAGGAGGGTTATAGCCATATAATGGACACCCTGACTGCCAAGCCAAGGAATATGGGCCACTCTATAAGCAATGTCTGTGCCCTAAAGGGTTTTTTAAGCCATTAGTCTAGTTTCTTTCTTTAAAAAAAAAAATTATTTAATTGAATTTATTGGTGTGACATTGGTTCACAAAACCATACAGGTTTCAGTATACAATTCAACAAAACTTTATCTCCACACTGCATTATGCACCCACTGCCCAAAGTAGTCTCTTTCCTTCCCCATTCATCCCTGCTTTGCCCCCTCCACCTCCCCCCAATCCCCTTTCCCTTTGGCTGTCGCAGCACCAGCACCGTTGTCTGTGTCGATGTGTTTTGTGTATGTTTTTTGGTTAATCCTTTCATCTTCTTTCATCCAGGCCCCTTCCCCCACCCCCTCTCCTCTGACAGCTGTCAGTCTGTTCCATGTATTCATGCCTCTGTTTCTATTTTCTTCTCCAGTTTGTTCATTAGATTCCACACACAAGTGAGATCATGTGGTATTTGTCTTCCTCTGACTGGATTATTTCATTTAGCATAATAATCTTCAGGTCCATCTATGCTGTGGCAAAAGGTCAGATTTTCTTCTTCTTTTTTTTTTTTTTTTATAGCAGAATAGTATTCCATTGTGTAAATGTACCACAGCTTTTTTATGGGCACTTTTTTTGATGGGCATTTGGGCTGTAAAGTATTTCACCAACTTGCGGTTTTGGTCTGCATACTGGCAGTAGTAAATACAATGGCTCAGAGGGGGACACCAAGGCAGGGAAACCAGTTAAGAGGCTGTAATTACAATATGAATGGAGGGAGGGAGAAGGGGAAGCTGGTGGTGATGCATAGGACCTGGAAGTGACTGAACTTTTTGGGAAGGGGAAGGAGAGTTAAAATAATTCGAGGCTTCTGGCCTGATGGACTGAGAACAGTGGTACTACTTACTAATTAAGAGGAGGAGCACTGATTTCTGAGAGGCTGGTACCAAGGGAGGCCATGCCCACGGTGGAGGGTCTGTCACCGGGCCTGTGGGAGTGAAGGAGTCCGTCACAGAGAGGAAAGGGAGTGGGCAGGGGCAGGAAAAGGCCTTCCTTTAAGGGGGCAAAGCAGGTTAAGAGAGGTGGGAGGAGACCCAAGAGCTACGAGAACAGAAATGACAGAAGGGGAAGTTATTGTCATGGTGCAACAGAGCCTGAACAGGACCAGGACCTGGAGGCTCTTCCTGCTGCCAGTGTTACCTTTAAGATGAACCCAGGGCATCATTAAGAGTGTGTGTTTATATCAGTGCTGCCCAAGAGAACTTCCCGCAACGATGGGGCCGGTCCACATCTGTTCCGTCCGGCACAGTAGCCTCAGCCACAGGTGGCTCCCGAGCACACCGAACGTGGAACAAAAGGTTTAACTTTAGAGCCAAGCCCATGTCTTCAAGACAGTAGGTTACAAAAAAGGCTGGGTTTAGGATATGATATCTGCTGATGGTCGGCAGACCCAGTACCAAGTAGTCTGAAAGCTTTCTTTGCTGCATTCCGATACTGAGAAACTCTAAAATGATTACCCTTTTGAATGGCTACTTAATTCTCAATGAGGTAAGCTGAATGAAATGGCCAAAAGGGCAATTACATTGTTTGAATTGCTAAGAACCCTCAAGAAACTGTTCATTTGAAATACATTTCACAACCGCCCACCTTGCTGCAAGCATTCACCTGCCCACGCCCAGCCCTCTGCTCAGCAGCACTGCACCTTCCTTTGGTGTCACAGGCATAAGGACTAGGGCCCAGCACAGATGTCAGGCAGACTAGGCCCCACGCCCCTTGCAACCAAGCGGCTCTGCCACTGGCCCTTCTCAGATGTAACTCCACCGCTGGATGGATATTCAGAGCCGGGCTCTGGTATTCCAAAGTCATTCAAAGACATCCTGCTCCCTTCCCAGAGAACTATTTTATACACCGAGAGTCTTACAAAATCCAAAATAATTTTATTCACTTTTTCAGATTTTTGCTTCCACAAGGTGTTCAGCAAACATGCTAAGGCGACAGAATGTCTAGTTGGTCACGACATGCAACGCTGACCATTCAACTGATGACAGCAGCGACCACGCCCACCTGAGCTACTGGCCCCACGGCACAAAGGGGGTTTGCAGAAACACACCGAACCACACAGCAATCAGCAACCTGAGGTAGGTCTCTTTACAGTACAAAAAACTTCTACACCAGTGTGAGACACTGATTAGCAAGAGCTGCTTAAAGTCGCAGACTTTGGAGAGAGAAAGAGACTGTGCGACAACTGCAGTGAGAAAAGGAAACAGACCCACAAAACCCTGAACCCTGTCACTGAACTGTGGAGGTGTGGGACCAGGCAAATGAAAAGTACCACCGGAAAAAGCAGCGGTCGGCTCCAGGGTTTGGAGCCAACAGGTCTAGGAGCTGGAGAGCTCTGTGCAGTGGCCAGCGTTAGGAACCTGAGGCAGTGGGACACTCTGTGAAGAGACTTGATGCTCCTTTAAAAACAACAGCGAAAAGAGGAAGGCAGGAGAGAAACTCCCTCTCACCGAGGACCGTGTCTGTGATTCTCATTCCTGGCGGAGGGAGTGAAAAGGGGGCCAGGGCTTTGCCCCCCGCTCTCCGGACAGACACAGGGAGGTGACACCGGGACAGAAAGCAAGAGCCCTGAGAGTTCACGGCACTCTGCTCGGCCGCTGGCGGGCCCCTCTTCGCCACCCGTCCGTCCGAGTGCTTGTGGGGAGGTGGCAGAGGGGGCCGCCGGGGGGCCCACATTGCCACACGCCTTCCTTTTCTGACACCCAGAAAACCTGGCACGTGAAACCACCAGCTAGCGGACAGTATGCTGCCCTTCCTATCGTCTAAGAGCAAAAACAGACCTCCAGTGCAGCAAACTGTACAAAAACGATAGAAAGGAATCTGCACTGTTGTTAGTACAGTGCTTATTTTAATATAAAATAAACAGCTTACATTTTCACTGTAAATATAGGCTATGTACAGAATTATATAGAGATATAGCTACACGTATAAAGCTTCTTTATAGGCCTCTGATACATTTATAATAATGGTTCCCTGAACCTTTTAGAGTGCAATTAAGAACAAAAACTAAATTTTGTTTACATGAATATGGAATAAATACAATAATCAAAATAGGACTCTCCCTAAAAGTGAAACACACAAGCCAATCCTGAACTGCTGTGCGAAAGGTCAAGTCGGGAAAGGCAAGGTTTCGGCAGGACAGGAAGAGGCCTGCCCCAGGCAGGGAGTGGCGACGCTCCAAAGGAAAGAGACGCCAGCGCAGGAGGAGTTAGCCCTTGACAGCAATCTTGTTCTCTGTAGCAGCAAACATGGCATAGAACCGGGAGCTGTCGTTGGACAGAAGGACCGACGGGGTGTCGAACTCCACCACCTGGAAAGGAAGGAGATGGCATCAGAATGTGACTCGGGGACACTCAGGGTGGTTTAGAGGACCCACTGCTCAGGATGGGGGGCAAGTGTGAAAGACCCCTGAGGATGAACTCAGGGTGACAATTCGACTAGCTTGGCATGTGGCCATGCCCAAATGGGTTCCTTTTTATCTTATTTTTTAAGTAAACTGTAAAAGGGAAGGTCGGAGAGAAAGATCTCTAGGTCTCCTTCACCCAATTCCTTCAGCCTAGGTATGAAGGACTCAATCGACAAGGTATTACAGCTGCAGGGAAAACACTGCAGCCCAAGTCAAAGACACAGCAGGCAAATGTCATCTTGTTGTGCAAGCTGATCTAAACCAAAGATGGAAAAGGAACAGCTCAGGATGCCTTGTTGGCAGAGAAAACAAACAGGAAGTGAGTCAAGGACAGACTCAGTCAATCATCCATTCCTATGATGGATGTCTAGGCAGACCCTGAAAATCGTACTGCAGCAGGATGAATGATATGCTGGCAGAACCTGCCTCCCACGACGCTGGCTGACAATGCCTCACACTTTCCTAGCCTTCCTTCTGCAGAGCAGAGGCATGGAGCACAAGCTTGGCCAAGGAGATGGAAGGGAAGTCTCCTGGGGTGCTTCTTGGAAAGGTTGTCCTGCCCGAGAGAGAGACACGCCTAGGGACAAAGTGTCCTTCCTTCAGACCAGTTGGATGAGGGTCTGATGTTGGGTGCTAGAGCAGATACTGTACCATGAGGGGACAGGTAGACACTGGCTTTCTTGAGGGGTAGGGAGGTTGTAAGTGGGCAGTATGGGAGAGGAAACAGGGGAAAGGGCATTAGGTAGACGGAACTGTATGAGTAAAGACAGGTGAAAAAGCTTAGGGATGCAAGACTGTCTGTAGCTAACAGCACCTGCAAGGAAAGAGGGAAATGAAGGAGAGGCTGGGCCAGATCGTGGGAAAGCTTGGAATAGCAGGATACAGAGTTAGGCACCACTACATGACTGCAACAAGCAAACACACAGCGCTGGACTCAATACGCCTTGGGCGACTCTAGTGTACGTGAATTAATTTCTAACTGAACTTGCTCTCTGACCTAAGTCAGAGTGCTACTGTTTGCAAGCAACAAAAGAACAGGCAGTTAAAGCAAAAGGAGAATCCAAGACTGCCTCTAACTCAGTCCCTTGTTGGGAGGGGCTGTGTCCCCCTCCAAAGCGACCAGAGTTGCTGTGGCTGCTTTTCTGAATGCTCAGAACCACGCTCAGAGGCCAATCAGTCCCATCCTCCCAGCAAGTCCACATGCCAAGCCCAGGTCCCTCAGGGCTCAGTACCTGTCCCTGGGCCAGCACCATAATCCTATCAGAGCCTAGGACTGTATGCAGGCGATGGGCAATGGTCAGCATAGTGCAGTCGGCAAATGCCTCTCGGACGGTCTCCTGGATGAGTAAGTCTGTCTCTGTGTCCATGGCAGCTGTGGCTTCGTCTAGAATCAGAATCTGCCGGGGGAGAGAGGAGAAAGGGGACTCAGCCCATTCCTTAAGCATTCCGGTTAATTTAGGTTTTACTAAAATGTATTTTAGCATTTGAATGTTACACCATGTATTGTCTTTTCTGAGTAGCTACACACATATGTAAAAATACTGTTTTGTTTAGAACTGCTGTAACGTCAAACCTGTATGTTTGCCTTGATTTCCATAAATAAAAGGGTATTCGTATAATATTCATCTAACAAAATACCCTATTTTCTCTGACTCCAAACACATACAGTCATCTTTCTTGACCTCCCTCTTCCAGTTTCTAAAATGAGGGGACTGGGTCTGATGACCTGGGCATCTTTCGCAGTTTTAAAATCTCCTAAGTCTAGGGTTTCCAGCACTACCACTACTCACTGGCTAGAAACAAAAGTCACCCTTGGAAACTGAAGGCTCAGAGAAGTTAAAAATAAAAACAAACAAAAAAATCCCCCCCACCCATATATCCAAATTGTGTGTGGGTTAATTCAGAAACACCTCTGGCTTAAAAAGTACCTCTGGAAAGGGGGGCAGGGGGGGGGCAGGGATGCCTTCGGACCTAGTGCACAAGAAAGGCTGCTCCTCCACCTACCTGTTCTTCCCGGCCACGCCCCTCCCCAGGCCCGCCTCTCACCTTACAGTGGCGGAGCAAGGCTCTCGCTATGCACAGGAGCTGCCGTTCCCCCACTGAGAAGTTCTCCCCATTCTCCAGCACTTCAGATTCAAGTTTCAGAGGTAGCTGAGCAATCTAGGGAGCAAGAAAGCAGAAATTAGAAGGATGAAAAAGTAAAGTTTGAAAAAACAAACCCTGAATTTTGTCAAGAAACCAGTGGCAAAGATCAAGTATTCTGAAACAGAAGAAGGAATACTCACTGAGAACCTGGTTCATGTGGAAAGAAGGTGCAGGCATAATGACCATGTGTACCAGTACCCACATTTTCTGGGACAGTCCCTATTTCAAATATACTATTCTGTTAGCCTCATACTCTCAAGATGTCTCAGAAATTCCAATATTTTCATGTCCACAAATCCCGGCAGGTAGTAGCCCTAATTTGGGTGCCACTGAAAATATGGTCATGCAACAGGAGATAGGTAAATAAAATTGCTGTAGGCCCATGGCTGTCAAACTTTTCTTTTTGTAAGCTATGAAACCTATTCTTCAAATGAAATTATTTGAGGAACCTCAGTCTAAAAGAGATAAAGCAGAGCTGATCTAGTTGAGTTAGGACAGAGGATCCTGAGTTTGACTTAAACAGGGGCATGGACACCCTCTGGCAGGTGAGGGAATCCTTCTGCAGACTGTGGCCCCTGGAGGGTACCTGCTGAGCGACCCAGAGATCTGTGAATCCATGGGCATAATGCATGCTCTCTGCATTAAATGATGTAGCTCTTGCACATATACAGATACTTCAAAAGCATGTTATACTGTTATGATTAATAAAATAGAAATTAATTTAAAAGCATTACTGAATTCTGAGTGGCTGTCATTTATATCTCCTCAATCGATGGATAGTAAAAAGGGCAATATAATCATAGGTGGGTGGGGGGGTGGAGTCAGAAAACATAAACTTTTATGCCTTTTATGGAATGCCTGGGAAGCCCTGCTCCAAAGTGCTCTTCCATGCCCTGGAGGTTTTGCTCAGTGGTTAGAGCATCAGCCCGTAGACCAATGAGTCCCGGGTTCAGTTCCGGTCAAGAGCACATTCCTCGGTTATGGTTTGTCCCTGGCCTTGATCGGGTCGTGCAGAAGGCAACCAGCTGATATGTCTCTCTCACATCGATGTTTCTCTCTCTCTTCCTTCCCTCCCACTCTATCTGATGATAAATGGGAAAATATCCTCGGGTGAGGATTTAAAAAAAACAAAAACCTAAGTGGTCTTCCACAGACATCCTGGAGGTGGAGGGACAGACCAGGCTGGACGGAGGCAGCCGGGCAGGCTGAGGAGTGACCACAGCGTGGCTGCATTTCTTCTCTTGAAATCCCAGCAAAGCTCGCCCTCAGTTCTTTACTTACACATTCTTTCATGTGTGTCCTTTCTAGGGCATCCCAAATCTGGTCTTCAGTGTACTGGTTGAAAGGATCCAAATTTGATCTAGGCAGAAACATAAGAAGAATTTCTGTGATCCACCATGTAAGGCGGCCGCACTGCAAAGGCTCTCTGGGGTGCCCTGGCCAGTTTGGCTCAGCGGTTAGAGCGTCGGCCTGCGGTCCGGAGAGACCCGGGTTCGGTTCCCGCTAAGGGCACGTACTTCGGCTGCAGTTTGTCCCTGGCCCTGGTTGGTCGTGCGGGTGGCAGCCACTCGATGTGTCTCTTCACGTCGATGTTTCTCTCTCTCTCTCCCTTCCTCTCTCTCCCTCCCACTCTATCTGTACAAAAAATGGAAAAATATCCTCGGGTGAAGATTAAAAAAAAAAAAAAAGGCTCTCTGGGGTAACAGTTTAAACACGCCTGGGAAGAGGCCCTCACCCCCTATGGTAACAGATGGCTCATTCGATAACCAGCCCAAGGTAGAGAAGAGTTTCTTCTTTATAAAACTTTATTTTAACTTTTATAGCAGTTATATAGAAAAATTAAGAAATACAGATACACAAAACACAAACCATACATGTTTTAATTATCTCTAATCAGACCCCTAGAAACAAACTGTTACATTTTGGCATATATGCTAGGTTTTTTTTCTGTGCATATACACATTGTTAAAATACATCTTTCTCTATGTACACAAAGGAGAACGCCCTCTTCCTTCCCGAGGCACCAGGGTGAGAGCAGGGACCCGCAGACAGCTAGCTGACCAGGAAAAGCAGCTGGTCCAGCAGAAAGGCAGCGGGGACTGAGAGCACAGGGAGCTGAATGGGGAGAATTTCCTTTCTTCTGGTTCAGAAAACCAGCTTGGGGACCATTCCTGTTTACTGTCCCCGCAGAATCTGCCACTTGGAGATCAAGGATACCAAAAGAACAGGACTAGGCACTTTTTGAAACGTTAAAGATAGGACCACAAGCTCTTTGTCACAGAGGATGAGGGTAGAGTTGTGGTGGAACAGATATTTGGTGGAAATTGGGGTGTTACACTACTCTGGGGTGTATGGTCTCAATCTAAACATGATGGTTATAAATCTAGTAATCTGAAAGGGATTGGGTACAATTTGCTTTGCTCACAAGTCGTGTTTGGCATATGGGAACACTCTGGGAGAACTTCCGCTCTGGGCCACGTTTGTCCACACTGGGGTCACTGCGTACAGGCGTGCCGACGCAGGCAGGCTGTGATCACCGAGGAGCTCTGCCCGAGCGGAGGAGGGGGCTGGCACAGCACGCCCCTGTCCTCGGGGCCATCTCCGGGAGGCTTTCCTGACCCTGCTCCTGTGCCTCTTGTCCTCTGCACATATGCTTTCCTTGCACGTGGCACACACGTACTCAACACACCCTTGTACTTGAGAGACCCTGGTAAAAGCAAGGGCTCTGGAGCCAGACTGCTGCGTCCTCCATATCTATCAGCTACAATGGTGTGCGCTTGGCCAAGTTAGCCTGATGACGCTATGTTTCAGTTCCCCATGTGCAAGGCAGGGAGAAAAGAATACCACTCCCAAAGGCTGTTGTGAGGTGACATCTCACACGTGTAACACACGTCTCTGGAGCTGATAACAAACGGCCCAACTCCCACAAAAGCTGTGCTCCCACGACGATCTACAGACACCAGCTGCACACGCCAGCAGGCCAGGTCTTGACCTTGAACCCTGAAGCCCCTGAATCCAGACCCACATGGTGCGGTAAGATTGTGAAACGAACACAGGCTTCTTGGTGGCCGCACATTCAAGGGAAGTCTGAAGTTAAGCATGCCTTATTTCCTAACTCTCTTCCAAGTGATGATTTAAAAATTAAGGAAAATAGTCCAGTCGGTGTGGCTCAGTGGTTGAGCACTGACCCATGCACCAAGAGGTCACTGGTTCGATTCCTGGCCAAGACTCATGCCCAGATTGTGGGCCTGACCACCAGTGGGGGGCATGCGGAAGATGGCCAATCGATGTTCTTTCTCATCAATGTTTCTATCTCTCTCTCCCTTTCACTTCCTCTCTCTCCCTTTCACTTCCTCTCTCTCTAAAATCAATAAAGGAAAAAAAATTTTTTTAAATAAATAAATAAAAATTAAGAAAAATAGCCCTGGCTGGTTTGGCTCAGTGATTAGAGGATCGGCCCACGGACCAGAGAGACCCGGATTCGGTTCCCGCTAAGGGCAATGTACCTCGGTTGCAGTTTGTCCCCGGCCCTGGTTGGGGTTGTGCGGGTGGCAGCCAGTCAATGTGTTGCTCTCACATCGATGTTTCTCTCTCTCTCTCCCTCCCTCTCTCCCTCCTGCTCTATTTGAAGATGAATGCAAGAATGTCCTCGGGTGAGGATTAAAAAAAAATTTTTAAGAAAAATATGGCATTGTCCTGAGCCAAAAATTATAGTCAATTTTATTCTCAAAGGTGTTCCCATGGCATCTAAATGTAGAGAGATCTAGCTCTGGCCAGTGTGGCTCAGTTGGTTGAGCATCATCCCGTGCACCAAAAGGTCACCAGTTTGACTCCTGGTCAGGGCACACACCTAGGTTGTGGGTTCGATCCCCAGTTGGGGTGCATATCCAAATTCAGAGAGTTTAGAAAAATGCCAAAATAAAAACATCCAAGAGTGTTGACCCTACAAGAAAGTAGGTGAGAATTCAGTTTTATCTACCAAACCTCCCTGAATGAGTGAGTTCAAATGCCATTTCCAAAGAAAAGGGGCGGGGCTGAAGACCCAGTGTTTAAGACAAGCGTGAACACAGCCTGTGGTTATTTGAAACTGTATTAGTAGCAATGTTTTTTTGTTTTTTTTTTGGAAACTGCTAAAAATTAAAGAGGAAATGGTAATATTACTTTCAGAGTGATTTTTTAAAAGAAGTCTTATCTAGTTGACTATGCAGTTAAAACTGTTTTTATTTAGAAAGAGAAGCAACTTGAATAGGAATAGACAAATTATAGAAACCCAATGCTTTTAGGAGGCAAAGCTTAAGGCTAACAGTAGGATAAATTATAAGGAAAGAAAATGGAGTTCAATACATTTCCTTCTTAGTTACTATTTTTTTTTTTTTTATCCTCATCCGAGGACATTTTTCCATTTTTTGTACAGACAGAGAGGGAGGGAGAGAGAGGAAGAGAGAGAGAGGGAAACATCGATGTGAAAGGGACACATCGAGTGGCTGCCACCCGCACGACCAACCAGGGCCGGGGACAAACTGCAATCGAGGTACGCGCCCTTAGCGGGAACTGAACCTGGGTCTCTCCAGACCGCAGGCGGACACTCTAACCGCTGAGCCAAACCGGCCAGGCCTTAGTTACTATTTTAATAGGTCAAGAAGAATTTTATCTTTGGCATGCTAGCAGAGAGAAGCATCATTCCAGAGTATTAAGGTGGGAGAAATACTGCAAAACAGAAAAACATGAGAAGCAGTAACGTGCCTGAAAACCATCATTAGAATGGCAACCTGGAGCGCACCCAGGAGAGAGAACAGCGTGGAGGACGGAGAAGGATGGTGATGAGGCTGGTGATAGCTGCTACCATCTACTGAATGCTCATCACTTGCTGGGCTCTGTGCTTGTATAATTTGTATGGATTTATTCGATCTTCACAACAGGTCTTAACAATATCCCAATTTTATGGATGAGGAAACACATTTAGGAGTGGTCAAGTAGCTTGTCCAAAGTCACAAAGCAGAGATCTGACACCGAATCTCTCTGACTTCCTCACCTCCCTGCTGCAGGGCCTCGGGCCTCGTTTGTTAATGAGGCGTCCTGCACAGTGGAGCTGCCCCGTACCTCTGCAACAGGACGCACTCCGTGTAGTGGGAAAAGCACCAAACTGGAGGTCACTGGACCTCAGTCCCAGGTGGAGGCGCTAACATGCCCACCTGGCCTTGATGAGGCACAGAGCAGATGGCGCTCAGGTCCTCACCTGACAGTGCCACTGAAGAGCACTGGCTCTTGAGGAATGATGGACAGTTTGCTTCGGAGGTCAGCAAGGCCAATATCGCTGATTCTCACTCCGTCGATCTTGATGCAGCCTCCAGATAACTCCACCAGGCGGAACAGGGCCATCCCCAGGGAGGACTTCCCTGATGAGTAAGACATGCAGAAAAGTAGCTCATCAGCAACTTATGAAACTGGTTAATTCTCAGGGCAAAATAATCTATTTTTCTATTTCTATGTAATCATTATTTCAATGGATTAACTCAGAAAATTATAAAATGATAGCCAAAAATGGAAAAAAAAAAATACACACACATAAAATGATGAACTTTCCTGAGCTACTAAGCATATGCATTTAAATCACACAGATTCAGCCTGAGACGGAATGGGAAGAACCACTATACACTCATGAGAGTAAAATGGAAAAACGGCTCCTTTTCTTCTTAGGAACAGGTACACAGTGTATAATGCTTCTCAGCAAAGTGAGAACAGAGGTCTTATGCAAGAAGCCAAGGAGCTAGGGGCAAACCAGAGAGGAAGTGGTCTTTTCTCTATTCTGCCCAATTAACGTAGCTGAGAGAGAAACAAGACAAGGCCTTGGGAGTGGAAGAGGCTTGGGGTAAAATGCACGGGAAGGAGGCTTTGGACTGAGTGAATGAGTGGCCGTGGTGACTCTGGCAGGACAGAACCTGGCAGGAAGGCAGGTCTGGGCGATTACAGTGTCACGGTGACAAGCAGAACAGCTTTTCTTCCTTGAACCTTCATATTAAGTTATATAAGTAATTCCAAACGATAATGTCAATGTCTCGTAATCACTACTGTTATTGATGACACGTTTCCCTTTAGTCCTTTTCTCAGAGGGCAGAGCATACCAGTTATACAACATTGTGATCGCTTTTTCCACTTAACACAACATAACAAACATGCACTCATATCACTGACTTGTCGAGATAAAATTCTGGTGACTGGCCCTGACCAGTTTGGCTCAGTGGTTAGAGTGTCGGCCTGTAGACCAAAGAGTCTCGGTTCATTCTGGTCGGGGGCATGTACATTGGTTGCGGTTCGATCCCTGGTGTCGTGCGGGAGGCAACCAATTGATGTGTCTCTCTCACATCAATGTCTCTCTCCACCCTCCCAACTCTATCTGAAAATCAATGAAAAAATATCCTCAAGTGAGGATTAAAAAAAAAAATTCTAGTGGCTGCAATACAATCCATCATATGGATGTACTCTTATTTATCCAGTCCTCCAACATTGGACATGTAGTTTATTTAAAACTTTCTATGATAGCCCTGGCCGGTTTGGCTCAGCGGTTGCAGCGTCGTGAGTTTGATTCCAGTTAGGGGCATGTACCTCGGTCGAGGTTTGTCCTGGCTCTTGTTGTGTCATACGAGAGGCAACCAGTCGATGTGGCTCTATCACATCGATGTTTGTCTCTGTCTCTCTCTCCCTCCCTCCCACTCTATCTGATAATAGGTAGAAAAATATCCTCGGATGAGGAATAAAAATTAAAAAAAAAAACAAAAACAAAAAACTAACTATGATAATGTTATGGCGTATGTCAGTGCTCAAACTTCGCTCCTACCTCAGATGATTTCCTTAAGATAGATTCTCAGAACTGAAACTACTCTGTCATTAAATAGCTCTATCTAGTGCCCCACCCCCCAAAAGAGAGTTTGACAAAGTGCTGTTTTTCTACCTTCCTGTGCTCAGACCCATGGCTTAGACTGAGGACCACAGGTCTTCAGCTGTTAGACCACATTCCCTTGGCTGGAGAACATCGACCCTCTTCATGTCTCCACGCTCTGCCAGGCCTCTCACGAGAGCCTCATGACATCATCTGTTCAGTGGTCACTGAGGGTACAAATATCCTGCTTTGCCCCAGGATCTGCAGCCACATCCCTGTGGTCATATTTGTCCCCTAATGGGAACCTGGAGAAATGTCCACCTTCCCAAGGCAGGACTCCTCATCTCCATGCACCAGGAATAAGTTGGAGAACCCGAGCCCATGTATCAGGATAGTTCTGAAGGAGGCGTTTATTCAGGGTTGGAGGACGAGTGGGTGGTCCCTCACCCAGATACAAGGAAGGGGAGGGGGACTCTCCCTCAGGGCCAAGGCAGTCGTTTAAGATCCAAGCTAAGAAGGGAACAGTGCTCAAATAAATAGACTAAGTGGTTCCACCTTAACAAAACATGCCTCGGTTTGGAACACCTGGACCAGGAGACTTGGTATTTCTCTGAACCTCTGATAGAATGTGCTGGTCAAAGAGGCAACAAAGTCCTCACAACTACATCAGGACCAGGGTCTATGAGCCTTGGAAGAAGCTTAAGAATAGAGTCTAGACTTTGTAAGTCAGGATATTTATAATTATTTTATTTCTCTTCTGTCACTACTTATGGTTTAATCAAGTCTGGTAAAATTTTGGTCTGTCTTCCTCGTGCGAAAGGGCAGTCACAGGAAGGGACAGCAGTCAGAGCTTTCAGGAGAGCAGGTACCTGGGAGCCAGGGTACTACAGGGAGTTCGAGGGAGAGAGCAGAGTAAGGGCCTTGGGGACAGTCCCCTCCCTGGCTCAGCATTCTCTTGCCAGTGCAAAATACCTAAAGGCAGTGTCTTGTTTTGATTTGAAGTAATTCCTTCAAACAGGGAGTAGGAAATGACTTTTTCTTTTCTTCCTGGCAGGCCCGGCTGGTATGGCTCAGTGTATTGAGCATCACTCCGTGGACTGAAAGGTCCTGGTTCAATTCCCGGTCAGGGCGCATGCCCTGGTTTCAGGCTCAATCCCCAGTAGAGGGCGTGCAGGAGGCAGCCAATTGATGTATCACTCTCACATTGATGGTTCTCTCTCTCTCGCTCGCTCTAAAAATTCAATAAAAACGTATTTAAAAAAAAAAAAAAAGTAAACTGGCCAGAAAAGATGCAAATTTTTTTGTTGCTTGTTTGTTTGTTTGTTTGTTTGTTGTTTTTAATGGCCAGAAAAAAAAACTAGAAGAGTTTTGGTGAAAAGGAAGCATGAAGCCGAGAAAGCTAATGAGAACTGACCCAGAGAGACCTCTTATACAAGGGTAAACAGGGTAAAAGGAGACAGGATGCAATCTCTGAAACATTCTTCAGGAAAGAAAGAGGGAAAGAAATAAATTACTGAAGTCCTGACCCTAGAAACCTAAAGGAAATATATAATACATTTCTAAGAATAAGAGTGAAGTAAAATGCCTAAAATGAAGGCCGATTCTCTGGTTTTTTGCCATTGACAATCAGAACAGAAAGAAAATAATATGTCTTCAAAGGAACACAGTTATTTGAGATGGGTGAGCCTCTGGTAAACGTGAGGCTACACTGGCATGTATCACACAGACCTTGAACACTCGAGGACCTGACGGAAATCGGATGCTCACTGCAGTGCTCCCCAGGAAAGTGCTCCCCAGGACAGTGAAACACTGGCAGCAACCTCACTGCCCTCCGACTGGAGCTTATGAAATATACATTGCAGTGACTCATAAAATAGAATTTCATATCATGCTGCATAGAAATCCTGTTGAAGAATATTAACTGACATGGAAAATATTTGGTGGTTTTCAAAGCAGGCCATGATACAGTGAGTGCAAAATGACCTCATTTTCGTAAACATATTTGTTGATAGAAAACATCTGAAAGATATCCACTACAATGTTAACAGTAATTATCTCCAGGTAGTGGAGTTATGGGTGTGTTTCCCTTGGTAATTTCCCATACCACCCACGTGTTCTGCAGTGAGAACGTATACTTTCATGATTAGAAAAAGCCGTAAGTTAGAAAAGCAGGGTTGAAAATAACCCTAGAAAACTGGTTCCAGTGAGACCTGAGACACTCCTCCCTCGTCTACAAGGGACCTGGTTTGAAGGGACGAGAGTGATATCCAGCAAGCAGCCATCAGGGGCCCCAGACTTAACTCCACAGGCTCAAATGTTTCTCCGGAGGGGCCCCGGAGTGTCCTCACCTGATCCCGTCCTCCCGACAATGCCAATCTTCTCCTTAGGTTTGATGGTGAAGGACACTTTTTTCAGGACCAGGGGCAGATTTTCTTGATATCTCATCTCTGCACTCTCAAAGGTCACCTCTCCTTCCTGGGGCCAGTCAGGGGAGGGAGCCTTGTTCTTAATTCTGGCAGGTGCTTCCAAAGAGAGAGTCTGGGGAGACAGAAGTGGCAGGTTCAGACTGACCCCCGATTCTGCAGGCTTTGTCATGAGAAGTTAAACCAGGATACCCATAGCTGCCACACAGAGGCAGCTGGAGCCCTGGTCCCTGCTGTGAAAGATTCTCTTGGCTGTTGATGCTTGGAAAGAGGCAGAGTACAATGGCCACTAAGTCTACAGTGGCTACTCCTAAGCAGCAGCTGGGGCAGGGCAGTGACCTTTAAACTGCCTCCTGTCTTAAGGAATTCTTCCACAAAACTGCCTTGGAGGCCAAGGGTGGGGAACACGAGGCTTTCTTTTCCTCTTCGACCCAGCAGTTTTTATTGGAATTCTTTGCAAATATCCCACTCCAAACAGGACTGCACCATTTGAAAACCACTGGCCTAAACGCAAAGAAAGGTAACAATATTTATGGAACATGTAATCAGATCCTGGCATTCTGCTGTGTCCCAGTCAATGCGGGAGACACACACTAATCCCAACTCTGCCTCTGACGGCTGTGTGACTGGACATGTCACTTCTGTCCTCCAGGTCTCATTTGCAAACTGCGGGGACTGGATTAGCTAATCTTGGAAATCTGTTCCAGCTTTAACACTCTGTGTTTAATGTAACTGCTTGTAATTTTATCACCAACAGTCAAACCTCCCAAAGTTTTAAAACTTTCTGGCAACTAGTCATGGGGCTTAGAGGGAAGTAAGGGCAGAGTCTGTAGTGCTCTGGGGTGGAGACTGAAGTCTAAAACTCCAAGCCGGAAGGGTCTCGTGTTGGGACAGGCATCCATGTCGGACACTGGCAGTGTCCCCAGAAATATGATTAGTCTGTGCAGGGTTCATGCTATACCACAGCTGACTACCCACCCTGACCTCTCCAGCAAGAGACTCTCACCAACTGAGATTTAAGCCAACACTACACATCTGTACATACACCCATGTATCATCCACAGACCAGAGCACTGGGCAAAGAGGCTAATGTAAGCTATTAGCAGATTATATTAGATTGCTATGTGCCATTCTTTCCCAGGATAATCACTTGTAAGTTTGAGAAATATCCTATGACTAATGAGGTTCATTGTCAAAACGAGTCCGTGGAGCATGTCTCTGCTAGAAAATGTAGTTCAGCCCTGGCCGGTTTGGCTCAGAGGTTAGAGCGTCAGTTCATGGACTGAAGGGTCTCGGGTTTGAGTCCCAGTCAAGGGCACATACCTGGGTTGTAGATTCATTCCCCAGCCCTGGTTGGGGTGTGAATGGGACGCAACCAATCTATATGTGTTTCTCATATAGATGTTTCTCTCTCTCCCTCCCTCCTTTCCACTCTATCAAAAATCAAATGGAAAAATATCCTCAAAACAAACAACAAAAAATATAGTTTACATAGCACACTAGTTCTCAACTGAAAGGGTAGTTTTTCAACACTATGCTTGTAAGTCATTATTTGGAGCTTGGAAAGTACTTTTCCCATGTAAACAACAACATCAATGCTGCTGAACTCTCCAGCAGTTCATAAGATAAGTAACTCCCGAGAACTGAGTTAAATGTTGAGAACCCTAACTACTGACAACTCTACTTCTTTCTACAGAAAATTGCTTTCAGGGCTCCAACTAGGACACTAGCAAGACACTGCCCCATGGCAAGGCTGCAGGGTGACTAAGGGAAGGTGGGAAGAGCTAGGTAGTCTCGGTAGCAACTAAATTAACTGGTTTTTATTTATATATTTATTAAAAACAATTTTTTTTTTATCCTCGCCCAAGGACATTTTTGCATTTATCTTCAGACAGAATGGGAAGGAGGGGGAGAGAGAGAAACATCAACATGAGAGAGACACATTGAGAGGTCGCCACCCATATGACCGCAACCAGGGCCGGGGACAAACTGCAACCAGGTACATGCCCTTGTGGGATCTGAACCCGGGTCTCTCTGGTCCGCGGGCTGACGCTCTAACTGCTGAGCCAAACCAGCCAGGGCCTAACTGGTTTTTAAACTATGAATGCAATTTAGAATTATCTATGGGGCTTTTAAAACTTTAGAAGCCAGGGCCCCCCCAAGACCTACTGCACCAGGATCACCTCCAGGGGCCCATATCTGCCTTTGCCTAAAGTGCAAGAGGGAGTCTTGACAGCCATCTCTGGTTAAGAACAAGTGAACCAGACGAAGACTGAAAACAATGCATGGTTTTACACAGTGTAAGAAAAATGTTACATTGGTCAGCTTAACTGAACTAACAAGGTTTGGAACATTTTGGACATTAGCTGATGAACGTTAAGTTCTCAATCACACGATTCACAAATATATTTAGCAAATCTTATGCTAATTCTCTTCTCCATTCCACGCCTGCTGGAGAGACTGCTGGTCTTCCCCTGCGGGATGAGAGAAGGCAGAGAAGACATGCTGCCTCCTTGCATGTCCACCCGAGGCCGTGAAAAGGTAAAACGCCTCCACGAAGGCTGAGGTCACAGTACAAGGCCTGTCGCAGTCTGACCTTGATGTAGTGGTTGATCCTCTCCACTGAGGTGAAGCGAGCTTCTGTCTCAGTAGCCAGTCTGACAGTAAACTGGAACAGCCCCGTTAACTGACAATGGAAAGCAAAAATCCAAGAGAGAGTCCATTATCAATACATGCCAGGACAACGCTAGAAAACCTCCTTCATCTAGGGGACCAAACCCAATCCTAAGAACTGGACACATACTGCAGCTGGTTTTAGGAACTGAGCCATTCTCTGAATATTTAAGACAAGGCCTATTACCCCAAATCATCTGTAATTCTCCAAAACACAGTTGGCATTGCGGTACTGCTGGCACCAACTTTCCTGTATCCAAAGGCTTTCCATCCATCTTTGCATGTCCAGTAACATGTATCTGTGGCTCCCGATGTGCACCTGCACCTGCTGTGGCAGTCACGGCAAATGGAGGTGCGTATCACCTGGGAGCAGCTAGTGGGAATGCTTCCGGGAAAGTCAGCTGAGAGAAGTAAGGCTGAGCAGACAGTGCACTGCAGACTAAGGATTCTGTTACTGCCCATCCAGTAACCAAGTAAGTCCGAACGACGTGGGCAGCCACCTCTGGGAATCTGCGACGATATATATCTCTTCTCGGCTTTCCTTTGCCTACTTCTTTATCTTTCCAATATGGAAAAATGTCCAAACATATACAAGAGGAGGAGGACAGTATAATAAATTCCCATGTACCAAACATCCATCTTAAAAAACTGTCAACTGACAGATAATATTGTTTCATTTATACCACCCCACCTTTCTGTATTATTTGGAAGCAAAGCCAGCTATCCTATCGTTTCATCCATAAACACTCAAGCGTGTATCTCTCTAAAATATAGACTCTTTAAAAACACAATACCACCCTGGCCGGTTTGGCTCAGCGGTTGGAGCGTCGGCCTGCGGTACAGAGAGACCCAGGTTCGGTTCCCGCTAAGGGTACGTACCTCGGTTGCAGTTTGTCCCCGGCCCTGGTTGGTCATGCGGGTGGCAGCCACTCGATGTGTCCCTTTCACATCGATGTTTCCCTCTCTCTCTCTTCCTCTCTCTCCCTCCTGCTCTATCTGATCAAAAAATGGAAAAATGTCCTCAGGTGAGGATAAAAAAACAAAAACAAAACAACAAAAAAACACAATACCATTACTGATTACCATGATGACATCTAATAATTAATAATAATTCCTTAACATCTTCAAATACCTAGTCTGAGCTCAAGTTCCCAGTTGTTCTTTGAACTAAAGACCCTAAAGACCCTGTAACAGTGTTGGGAAAAGCAGGGGCCTGAAAACAAAACACATATAAGAAGCATACTGAGGATGCAGTATTCTTAGAAGACTACAAAGAGGCCAGAGATGACAGGATGGTGAATAGATAAACCTACTATTAGAAAACCATTTTCAAAAGCACCTTTATAAAGAAATAGCATCTATTTCTTAAACACATGCAACAGACTTCAATCCCTTTATTTCTATATATCACTCTCTCCCATCCTCCCGCCCCAGCCAAGTCCAGATGGTTACCATAAAAGCAGTCTGCAAGATGCTCGAGGAGTCAGGTAAAATGTGGCTTAGGGCAGAGGCTCCGACCATACCTCTCCTAGGCCAGTATAGGAAGGACTCAAATGAGCAAAGGTGATGCCCGCATCCTGGAGACTGACCTGGACAGCGTAAGAGATGGCAAGACCCGCATAGGCTGGGGAAATGTGCCCGTGCATGAGAACGATCATCAGCCCGGTGGTGGTGATCAGGGCGATGCTGATCAGGTCGAGCCGCACAGCCAGCCACCGCATTGCACAAGTGAACAGGAAGAAAGGACTCTGGTTGTTATCCAGTAGCTCCTGGTACCTATGAGAAAGGCAGAACAACTAATAAGCAAATAAAGTAACACCAGACCCTGGTCACGGATGATGGCAAAGCTCTGGTGAATTATGGACCAGGGGGCTAATACTTAAGTACCTCCTGTTTGTTACTAGGAGAATAATATGAAAACTTAAGAAGTGCGGAGTATTTCAGGCTACACACATAGGAGGACACGGGGTTTTCTAGTTTTACCCTTTCAAAGAAACGTATTCAAGCCCTGGCCGGTTTGGCTCAGCAGTAAGAGCGTCGGCCCGCATGCCCTGGCCGGTTTGGCTCAGCGGTTAGAGCGTCGGCCTGCGGTCCGGAGAGACCCGGGTTCGGTTCCCGCTAAGGGCATGTACTTCGGTTGCAGTTTGTCCCCGGCCCTGGTTGGTTGTGCGGGTGGCAGCCACTCGATGTGTCCCTTCACATCGATGTTTCTGTCTCTCTCTCCCTTCCTCTCTCTCCCTCCCACTCTATCTGTACAAAAAAATGGAAAAATATCCTCGGGTGAGGATAAAAAAAAAAAAAGAGCGTCGGCCCGCAGATCAGAAAGGCCTGGGTTCGGTTCCCGCAAAGGGCATGTACCTAGGTTGCAGTTTGTCCCCACTCCTGGTTGGGGTCGTGTGGGTGGCAGCTACTTAACATGTCTCTCTCACATTGATGTTTCTCTCTCTCTCTTCCTCTCTCTCTCCCTCCTGCTCTATCTCAAGATAAATGCAGGTGAGGATAAAAAAAAATATATGTATTCAAGCTGTTGGGGGAAAATACCTACTTTAACAGCATAGGGAAACATGGGGGGAGGAGACCAAATAAAGAGGCTGTGCTAAACTAAACGTCAGAAATATGTCATTTTCTCAAAGAAAGAAAGGTTATAAAGGCAAACTGCAGAAATGGCCCAAGGCCAGGAAAAGGAAACTCTCAGACTGACAGGCAAAGTGGAAATTGTTTGCTGACACACCATTACTGGGCAGAATGACACCTGTTTCCCAAGGCCACAGAACAAAGAGCCATGAGCTAAACCATAGCAAAAAAAAAAAAGTATGTCCGGCCAGTGTGGCTCAGTGGTTGAACGTCAACCCATGCACCAAGAGGTCGCCGGTTCGATTCCTGGCCAGGGCACATGCCCAGGTTGTGGGCCAAATCCCCAGTGGGGGGGCATGCGGGAGGCAGCCAATCGATGTTCTTTCTCATCAATGTTTCTCTCTCTCTCTCCCTTTCCCTTCCTCTCTCTCTAAAATCAATAAAAAGAAAAAATTAAAAAAAAAAATAGTAGGCAACCTTTGCCAACGAAGGAGGAAGGAGACACTACTAATCACTAGGGGTCCTGGAGGGCACATCAGACGCATCTGAAGGCTCAGGTAATACACACAACTAGGACTCCAGAGCAGGAAGTCTTTCCAGGCAAATGTGTGTTGCTTTAAAAAAAAAAAATCACACCCTGGTCGGTTTGGCTCAGTGGTAGAGCATCTGGCCTGCGGACCAAAGAGTCATGGGTTCAATTCCAGTCAAGGGCACGTACCTCGGTGCAGTTCAGTCCACAGCCCTAGTTGGAGTCGTGCAGGAGGCAACGAATCGATGTCTCTCTCACATTGATGTTTCTCTCTCCCTGCCCCTCCCACTCTGTCTGAAGATAAAATGGAAAAATATCCTCGAGTAAGAATTTTTTTTAAAAAATCACATTTCTTCCTTACACTAAGATATGTGCTCTTTAGAGAAAATTAGAAAATGCAAAAAAATGCAAAAGTCCAGTAATTCTACAGTTAAAGCCGGAGTTAATATTTGGTTGCATTTCCTTCCAGCATATATATACACACACACATACATAGTCAGTATATTTTAATCTTTTTCACTGAAAGTTAATGTTATTTTTCTGAGTTGCTTAACCTAATCTTTTTACTCTAGATTTTCTTTTAAAAAATTAATTACTTAATTTATGGAATAGAAAATATTTTCACAGGACAGACTATTTAAAAGGTACAAACATCGCCCTGACCAGTGTGGCTAAGTGGTTAGAACATCAGCCCATGGACCCAAGAGCTGCAGGTTCATATTCCTGATCAAGGGTACGTACCTCTGTTGAGGGTTCGATCCCTGGCCCTGGTTGGGGTCATGCGAGAGGCAACCAATTAATGTGTCTCTCTCACATCAATGTTTCTCTCTCTTTCTCCTTCCCTCCCTCCTACTCTATCTGAAAAAAATCAATAAAAAATATTCTCAGGTGAGGATAAAAAAAAAAATTAAGATAAATAAATGGTACAAAGGTTTTATCATGAAAGTCAGCTTTTCTCCTGCCCATTCTCCAGCTATCCCATTCTCCTCTCCAGTGGCAACTATTCGTTTCTTGTGCATCCTTTCAGAGATATTCTAAATGTTACATATACATATACACTTACAAGGGAGAATAGCATACACACACATCAGTACTTTGCTCTTTTCACTAACATATCTTAGAAATCATTCTAAGTACCTTTATCAGTACCTTTAGAGCTGCCTCATGTTTTGTTTTTGTTTTTTATCCTCACCCGAGGACATTTTTCGATATTTTGTTCAGATAGAGTGGGAGGGAGAGAGAGAGAGAGAAACATCAATGTGAAAGGGACATATCGAGTGGTTGCCACCTGCACGGCCCAACCAGGGCCGGGGACAAACTGCAACAGAGGTACGTGCCCTTAGCAAGAACCGAACCCAGGTCTCTTTGGACTGTAGGCCGACACTCTAACCGCCGAGCAGCCAAACCGGCCAGGGCTGCCTCATGTTTCTTTTTTTTTTTCATCCTCACCTGAGGACATTTTTCCATTTTTTGTACAGATAGAGTGGGAGGGAGAGAGAGGAAGAGAGAGAGAGAGAGAAACATCGACGTGAAAGGGACACATCGAGTGGCTGCCACCCGCACAACCAACCAGGGCCGGGGACAAACTGCAACCGAGGTACATGCCCTTAGTGGGAACCGAACCCGGGTCTCTCCGGACCGCAGGCCGACGCTCTAACCGCTGAGCCAAACTGGCCAGGGCTGCCTCATGTTTCTTAAGGGCCACATAATATTCCACTCTATGAGTATATCATAGCTCCTTTAACTAGTCCTCTGTTGAAGGACTGTAGGTTAGTTTCAATCTCTTGTTAATACAAATCTCGACAACGACTAGGTATATAAATGTCTCAGATAAACAATATTCAACTAATTAAAATGTCAGTCTAAAATCAATAATTATCTTTAACTGTTCAAAAAAAAAAGCAAAACGCCATCAAATACGGCCACTCAGGAATGAAAGCCAAAAGACTCCAAATCTATGTTTTTGTCTTCTCATTTGCTCAGAAGGGAGTTCCACCAAGCAAGTAAATTTTAATCAGAGACAATTAAATCACTAGTTGTCTTAGTAATGAGCTTTATAATCCCCTATTCTGACCAAGGAAGACCTCTTGGACTCTGATTAAATTCAGAGATGCTGGCGTCTCTTTGAGCCCTTTGGGCCCTCAGCACTAACCTGTGCAAAAACTCCTGCCCTTTGTTGTAGGCATGAATGGTGGCAAGGCCCTGTATGCTGGATGTGATGTGGGAGAGGAAAGGTGACTGTGTGATATTGTCCAGACGCTTCAGCTCTCGAATCAGGACCCTGGAGAAAGAACGAGTTCTGGGTCAGAGGGTAGAGAGCAACTCTGGCTCCATCGTCTGCGCTGGAAGACACGAACCCTTCCCCTTTACCTGGACACAATGTGCAGAACTGCGAAGAGGATGATGAGGGGTGCTACTGCCACCAGGAACCATGGGAAAACCCCTGCGATCATTCCAACACAGAAGAACACCAGGATGACATTTTGGATGAACATCTCAGCCTGAAAGGGCAGGCGCACATCGACTAAGGGAACCGTAAAGAAACAAGCGTCAGGCTGTGGGTATCCGCAAACAGGAAAAATGGAACCCAAAATGAAAAACAAAAACAAAAAGTTGTGTGCTATCTTTTCAACAGTCTGATTAAAAAAAACAAAAAACTAGATACCGGATTGATCTAATTTTTCTTGTCTCAAGAAAATGTAAGTATTCTGCCCTGGCCGGTTTGGCTCATCTGTTAGAGCATCGGCCTGTGGACCACAGAGTCCCGGGTTTGGTTCCCGCTAAGGGCACATACCTAAGTTGTAGTTTGTCCCCGGCCCCGGTTGGGGTCATATGGGTGGCAACCACTCGATGTGTGTCTCTCTCTCTCTTGCCCCCTTCTTCCCTCCCACTCTATCTGAGGATAAATGCAAGAATGTCCTCGGGTGAGGATAAAAAGAAAACATAAGTATTCTTTCTCCCCTGTGCCCTCTCTTTGGTTCACTGTTGCCCAACCCCTTTAAACATTTCCCCCCTTTACAAAGTAATATATGCTTGTTATAAAATATTTTGAAAATAAATGTGCAAAACAGATTACACATAATCTTTATTCTCACCCAAAAACAATGAATTGCTATTAACATTTAAGAAAGTTCTCATCACGGAAAGTTTTAAACATACACAAAAGTCAAAAGAATACAGAAACTCAAAAAGTTATCAACATTTTCTCCATTTCCTTTTTGGCTACCTCCTCCCTATACCGTATTTTTGGAGTGGGGGGAGATTGGAGTATTTTTATGCAAATCTCAGCTATATTGATACCACTTACTTTTTTTAATTTCAGTCTTTTCTCCATTTGTGTGTGTGTGTCATGCATCAGTTCTGCATATCAGTGATAGTTTTGAGCCCTTGTTGCCTGTGCCCATGGTTTTACATTGCTTATCAACATCTGAAATAAACTCCTTCTACAGAGGCAGTAACAGTGCAGTAAAAACATTAGCTCTGGGGTCAAAAAGATCTGGCCAGTGTGGCTTGCCCTGGCCAGTGTGGCTCAGTTGGTTGGGCGTCATCCCATGCACCAAAAAGCTGCTGGTTGGATTCCTTGTCAGGGCTCACGCCCAGATTGCGGGCTCAATCCCTGGTAGGGAGTGTGCTGGAGGCAGCCAATCAAGGCTTCATTCTCGCACCGATGTTTCTCCCTCTCCCTTCCTCTCTCTCTAAAAAGCAAGAGAAGAAAAAAAAAAAGATCTGGGCTCAATTCCCACTTTCTTATGCAATAGCTGCGCAATCTTGGGCAAGTTATTTAACCTTTCTACACATCACCTTTCTCATGTATTCAGTGGGTGAAACAATACCCACCTCATAGGACTGTGGTAAGGAGCAGGACAAGGCATGTAGGACATTCAGCACACAGGAAGCCTCAATGAATGTCAGGTGGCGTTACTAGCAGTCTGGGCTCTGGGAAGTATTTAAGTTCTGGTGCTGGCACAGACCATGCAGCATCCAGAAAACCTGCCAGAGGCTCAGGCATTCAGAAAGCAAAGAAACTACCTCTGAAATGAATATATGTTTTTCAATCTCAAATGCCCCCAGTCCAAAGCCTTTATACTAACTCAATCCTCTGAATTTTTTTTTTTTTTTTTTCAGGTTAAATAAGATTGAATGAAAACTTAGATGAAAGGTGAAAAATCAGATGGGTCCTTTGCCTAACTATAAGTTGTGACCTGGAGAAAATGCCAAAACTAAAATGTTCCTGGTCCAAACACCAGCAGCCACTGTGGTCTCAGAATACAAGGCTGGATACAGCTGCATTACCAGGGAATGTCCTCTAGGAGGCTGGAGGGCACAGTGAGCAAGTGGTGAGGAATACCTTCATCCATGTCTCTGGAAAACCTGTTGAGAATCCTCCCTGTGGGGGTAGTGTCAAAAAACTTCATCGGGCTTCGCAGGATCCTTCGGAAAAGCTCATCATGGAGCCGGGAGGAGGCTCGCAGTGTGCCCTAAGGAGCAGAGTGCCAAGTGGTCAGGCCCCAGAGACCCAGGGACTCAGTTCCTGCTCCACAGGTCATAACCCCACAGGATGTCCACTCCCCAAACTGGAGAAGGGCAAACGGCCACGGAGCAATGAGGTGACTAATAGGAAAAGACCGAGGCTAATGGGATACAGGTCATTCCAGTGAAGGCCACTGTGTCTCAAAGGAGCTCCCCTCCTCAGAATGACCCAGAGAGAGGCCATGCTGAAGCCCGGCCAGGCAGTAGGGTGAGGAGGAGCAGAAGCCACCACCGCATACCTTGACGAAGACAACGCCTCGCACGGCTTTCAGGATCAGCATGACAGCCATGGAGAGGGCATAGATGCTGGCATAGTACTGCATGTGAGGGTTGTCCTTCATGCTGCTGCTCACCAAGGTCTTGTTCCCGTGAGTCACTGTGGTGTTCTGTTCGGAAGCAAGGCTCTATGAGGCACGATGCCTAAGAACCGCCAAGAACCATGCTCAGGGTCACTCTCAGCTCAACGGGAGGGGCAGGATAATGACTCTGGAATCTGGTGTGGCAAACACAAGGAGGGCTTTGCCCCTCTCCGTCTCTCTTTTCTAATGGATGAGGGCAGACAGCCCATAGGTGTGCTACTGATAAACTACCACTTCTTGAGTTGGTCAGGGAGCAAGTTATCTTGTGAGGTCACAGTAGGGACTCATCTTTTTCATCTGGGTGACCCTTATTCATTGCATCTTTTAATCAAAAACTAGTTTCCTTAAGAACAGCCAGGGAATATAGAGAGATGGCCATATTCTTAGACATAAAATATTCCCATTAATGAGTAACCTTACCCCGCTTCCTTCCTTGATCCAGTAACTCAACCACCAGTTGCTGAAGGCAGTACTGCCCACGTTCAACATGAAAAGGGATATAATGAACAGGAAAGCCAAGGGGCCCCCAGCAGCCTGGATGTAGACACCATACACTGACCATGGCACTGAACCCTGCCCCTTCTCTTCCGCTTGCACCAGCTGCCCTAGGTAAAAAAAAAGAAACACAAATTCAGAAGGAAAAAGCTATTTTCCAAAACAAAGTCACCTATAGAAGAACAAAGTCAAAGTGAGCCTATAGTTTCACAGGGCTCTGGATCAGAATAATTTCCTATTTATCAGAAGCATTCATTCATCCATTTAACATTTACTAAGCACCTCCTATAAACAGGCCCAGGATGAGGCCCTGGAACAGTGAAAACAAGTAAGACCAGGTCCCTGCCCTTGAGATCTGCCTGAGGATCCCTCCACAGTCTAGTAGGACAGACAGATAAATAAACACATAATTCTAACACAGTGTGTTAACACAATGCTAGAGCTAGATGCAGGGCAGTGTGGGAACATCCAGGAGGTGTAGCTAACCTACTTGGGGGAACTGTGGGGTGGTTTAACAGTGAGGCTTCAGGGAAGACATTATGTGTAGTCCACACTGCACCTCGAAGGTGAGCCTGAGTCGGCAGGTGGGGAAACGACGGGCAGCGGAGGTAATGTGCACACCAGCAGAGGCGGGAAAACGGCAGGACAGTAAATACAGACCCAGTCGGCATGGCTGGAACAGTACGTGTGCCGGCGCAGTGGCAAGGGATTAGGTCGATTAGACTGCTGTGCTGTCAGAGGTATTTGAACATTACCCTTCAGACAAGAACCTCTCAGGGGAATGGGCTGCAGGGGTGTGAAGGACTGACTTCAGCCCTATTGGGCTAGATGGGCCTGGGGTGGCCAGTCCAGCCACCTCTGACAGCGAGCGGCCTCTTCCATGCATCCCAGTGTCCCAGATGCAAGACCTCAGGTGAGGAGGTGACACAATAGAAAGAGAGCTTTCTTTTTAAAATTATTTTTAAGGTGCAAAACTGCTATTCTCTGGAGCATTATCTCAATGTGTTGAGATTTTGCTTATCAGCAATTGTTGACAGTTTGGCTCAAATCAACTCACAAAAATTATTTTTTAAAAAAGAAAGAACTTGCCCTGGCTGGTTTGGCTCAGCGGTTAGAGCATCAGCCTGTGGTCCAGAGAGACCCAGGTTCGGTTCCCCCTAGGGGTGCGTACCTCGGTTGTGGTTTGTCCCAGGGCTGGATGGGTCATGCGGGTGGCGACCACTCGATGTGTCCCTTTCATGTCAATGTCTCTCCCTCTCCCTCCCTCCCTCCCACTCTATCTGAACAAAAAATGGAAAAATGTCCTCGGGTGAGGATAACAAAAATAAATAAATAAATAAATAAATAAATAAATAAACAAACAAATAAACAAACAAACAAACAAACAGAAAGAAAGAACGAAGTTTAAGACAGGACTGCATTCCTTTTTTGTGGGGAGGGGGGCAAACTGTCATGTAGCTTAAAATTCACCAAGGTGAAAACACCGAAAGTATTGGAAATTGCTTTTTTTTTTAATCCTCACCCGAGGACACCTTTCCATTTTTCACTCAGATAGAGCGGGAAGGAGAGAGAGGGAGAGAGAGAAGCATCGATGTGAAAGGGACACATCGAGTGGCCGCCACCCACACGACCCAACCAGGGCCGGGGACAAACTGCAGCCAAGGTACATGCCCTTAGCGGGAACCGAACCCGGGTCTCTCTGGACCGCAGGCTGATGCTCTAACCGCTGAGCCAAACCAGCCAGGGCTGGAAATTGCTTTTTTACCTCCCAGCATTTGCTGGGAGTTATCAGTTGGTAAGAGGAAGTGTTGACAGAACAGGACTCTAGGTAAGGAAAGTCAGGGAGGAAAAACCCTGGTGTAACTCTTGGCCACAGCTCTGGGGCAACCTCCGAGGAGTGTGCCATTTGAACAGGGAGCCACCCAGAACACAGGCATTCCTGGAGCCGGAACACCTCTGCTTTGTTTGGTATTAACTTTTAAAGAGCAGAGGTGAGTCAAAAAAGGACGGTATACTTCTATACCTCTAACCTTTTTACATACTCAGGATGACTCAGTTATGACCCCATGCTGCACAGGAAGAGAGAGGATCGAGGGCCATGCTTAGGGCCTTGGCCTGCCCTTTAAGCACACAAAAGGTGCCTCATGGTCTCCTGATAGAAGAACTTTGTTATTTCAGGAATATAAGGCCAGATAATCTACAACAATACAATGTTATCAAACATCATGGATTACCACATGGCATAATTTCTGATATACTTTAATGACAAATCTAAAGTCTCAGAAAAGTTCATTACCTTCCTCTGGCTTCACTGCTTTCTCCTTCTTTACTGATCCTGCTTTAGGACCCTTGTCTTGTGACTTCTTCTGTGAACCACTGGTTTCCTTTTTTGAATTAATCTAATATTTAAAAAAAAAAAAAGTGATATGGCCATTCAGACAAACATCCACAAGATACACGAGACAATCATCTATCAAGCTGCTGCTATTCTTGAAAAGAAATACATTCAACTTCTTAAAAAGGCTACCTATACTCATTTCTTGTATTTCCTCAATTCCTGCCATCTTTGAGATCTGGGTTCCTACCCTATTCCCCTGATATTGCTCTTCCCAAAGTCACTGAAGACCTAAATCTCCAAACACAGTAGCCTTTATGTTCTCATTCACTCCAACTTGTCCAAAGTATTGAGGCTGGGGTCACTTTCATTCCTCCCACCTCTGATCCCCATCACTGAATGCAATCACAGGGCTGAGCGTGTCCCACTGCTACACAGGACAGCCTCACCCTTCTCGGTGTGGTTAGACCTCCACACGCTGGCCCTCGCCTAACTGCAAACTCCCCTCCCATTCCGGGGCTCCCACTCTCATTCCAAACTGGATTTCCTGCCATTCCTCATACCACGGTGACTTTCCACTTCGTACCTTTGTCAAGGTTGGTTTTTCACTTGGAATGCTCCTCCCCTTCCCCCAACACAGTCACAGTTGTCCCCATTCAAACAGATTCAAACCTTACGCCTTCCCTGAGATAACTCGGATTTGTCTGGAATAGAGTGCATGCCCCCCGCCCCCAGGCACTTGTCAGCAGCACTATCACAGCACGGTGGCTGTAAATGTGACCCGGTGTAACAGCACAGGGCACTGGTCTACCCTAGGAGACTGTGGGTCCCTCAAGGAGGGAGATGACGTCTCACTCATGGTTCTAAACCCCACAGGGCTGAATACCCAGAACTTCCCATAACAGGGCACAGAGGAACTTAGTAAATGCTCATCAAATTGAACCTGAGAGATTAGAAACTACATAATGTTCTCCTTTCTAACTTCCTCTTATATCTTTATACAGGAAATTCTCTTAATATAATTTACTACATTTAATTCTATGCTATAGTCAGCCTCATAACCTCAGTTTGCTTTCCAGCTAGGCTTTTTAAATTGACAGTGAGCCCAGCCAGTGTGGCTCAGTGGTTGAGCATTGACCCATGCACCAAGAGGTTGCTGGTTCGATTCTGGTCAGGGCACATGCTCAGGTTGTGGGCTCAATCCCCAGTGCGGGGCATGCAGGAGGTGGCCAATCGATGTTCTCTCTCATCGATGTTTCTGTCTCTCTCTCCCTCTCCCTTCTTCTCTCTCTAAAATCAATAAAGAAAAAAATTTTTTAAATAAATAAGTTGACATGAAAAAAAGTCACAAAATAATATAAAATTTAAAGCCACACCTGGAACACAAGATAGAACCCTAAATTCTATATTTATTACAGCACATAAATACACACACTGTCTAAAGAGAAAATTACCATTTGCTGACCACTTACTAGGGTAAGAACATTACATCTTATTTCATTTAATTGATATAGCAACTCTAAGAGGCAGGGGCCACCCCCATTTTTTTTAATCCTCACCTGAGGATATTTTTCCATTTATCTTCAGATAGAGTGGGAGGGAGGAAAAGAGAAGAAGAAAGAGGGAGAGAGAGAGAGAGAAACATTGATGTGAGAGGGACATATTGACTGGTTACCTCCTGCATGACCCCGACCCAGGCTGGGGAATGAACCACAACTGAGGCACGTGCCCTTGACCAGATTTGAACCCGCGACTCTTCGGTCCACAGGCCAACACTCTAACCGTTGACCAATCTGGGCAAGGCCCCAGTTTTAAGATGAGGACACTGAAGCTTAGGAAAGTACACAACATGCTGAGAGTCTGCTTCTGACTCCCAGAGTCTAAGCCACACCAATGCACTTCAGAGTTTAGCTTCTTTCCCTCTCATTTTCCCCTCTGTGTCTACAGTGAGGAGGAAATAATCTGAAGAGTACTTTGAGTCACAGGAAGAGATCATAAAATCCAAATCTGCATCAGAGTGTCTCTATGGAAGTTACTGATGACACTGGAATGTCTGAGTTATTCCAAAAGGCCAAAAACAAATCAGTCGTGAACAGTTCATTGTACTGTACCTGAAATCAAACAGGATGACACCCAAAGACTCTCAGAAAAGATCCCAATAACTTTCTGCTTTTATCCCTCTCAGACATCAAATGACTTAGTAGTTAAGAAGTAGTTTTTAGCCTAGCCTAAATGCACTGCTAGGACCCAAGGTGACCACAGAATAAGGAGTTCATATGAGAGCAGGTTGGCAAGAAGAAAAAACAAGCTATTTGGCTAGCTCCAAGTAAGTGTGCCCTTGTGCTTGCCTAACTCGGAGCTGAGAGCAAAGCCACAGAAAGCTGACACCCTTCTGTGTTGTCACAGGGGACAGGCAGCACGGCAGAAAGAGCACTTTAGAGTCCAAGTGCCTGTGTTAGTGTTAAAAAAAAAAAGGCCAGAAACAGCCCAAGTGTCCATCAATAGATGAGTGGATAAAAAAGCTGTGGTACATATACACAATGGAATACTACGCAGCTGTAAGAAAGAAAGATCTCTTTCTCCTTTGAGACAACATGGAGGGACCTTGAGAGTATTATGCTGAGCGAAATAAGCCAACAGAGAAAGACAAATACCACATGATCTCACTTATTTGTGGAATATAAGGAACAAGGTGGGCTGATGAATGAAACAGACCCAGAGACATAGAAAGGAGTATGGTTCACACTGACAAACCTCAGAGTAGGGGGGTGGGGGGGAATGGATGAGATGAACCAAAGAACTTATATGCATGTATGCATAACCAATGGACATAGACAACAATGCTAGGGGGGTAGGGGAGCAGGATGGGGAGAAAGGGGTCTGGGGGGAAAAAGGAGAAACATCTGTAACAAAAATAAATCAATAAAAATTAGAGGGAAAAAAAAAGAAAAAGGAAAAAAAGGCCAACATGAAGTCACTTTTGCTAAGCCACACCAAGACTCAGTACCTACCCTAAATGCAGTGTCCGCCTCTCCCAGGAATGCAAGTTTAAACCACTCAGTCTGGAATTTCCTGGTCAACACAGTGAGGTAATCTCCTCCTAAGACCCCCTGCCTTCCCCTAAGGGAAAGTGACTTTGCCTGAAATAACCCACTCTTTTAATCTCCTCCTCACCCTCTCTCTGCCCTTCCAGTTGCCAGAGGGATGCTGCCCGATTCACGAATCACTTAATAAAGCCAATTAGATCTTCAAATTTACTTGACTGAATTGTGTTATTTAACATTAGCAACCTGCTTAACTTTTCGAGCTTCCAATTCCTCGGCCGTAAAAGTGAGGGATAATCATATTTTGCTATGGAGCTCTGTTTAAAAGAGTAAAACAGGATGACATCTCTGAAGTGCCTACTCCAGTACTTGGGACATCATAGTTGTTAGTTGAATAGTTGTGAATGAGTGCCCAGCCAGCAGCCAGGACACCAAGGATCATTTTCAAATGTATGCAATGATTAATTTCTCTTCCCTGGTTCCTTATTCACTTCTTTGTTTAGAAAGGAGCTTCACATGCTTCAACCAGGATTGATGGAGTTTTTGAAACTAAGCTATGACTGAACAACGAATACATTGTGGACCCTGTTAAAAAAAAAAAATCTAATCCAAAGTAACCTTACAGGAGATCTAAATATTAATTCCTAACTGGGCAGGTCGTGGTGGGAATAATACCCCAGGCCTACAACTTGTTTAGTAAAGGGTTTATGCAAGCCCTGCCCACTGTCCTGTGCATCTAGGTTAACAACTTTTGAAATGCTAGAAGCGATTCTTTTCCCCAGAACCCTCTAAAGCTTAACCACCCTCAAGAGCGCACATCCTCTTAATGACGTCATGTATGCCGTCATGTAATCTAACCTCTGCCTTGCTGTCCCCCACCGCCATGTGAACTTCCCACGCTCCTCCTTAATTCCAAATGTAGAAAAGAATCTGCACACTGTCATTCTCCAGAGCATTTGAGATCTTGCTTCCCGCCCTGGCCGGTTTGGCTCAGCGGTTAGAGTGTCGGCCTGCGGCCCCGAGATCTTGCTTCCCAGCAATGTCATCAGTTTGGCTCAAATAAACTCATAAAAATTCTTTACAGGTTTGGACGTTTCTCACTTAGACAACACACAGAGCCCATACTGTTTTCCGTTACTGCCTTATTAATAAGTTCTGAGTGACAGAAGTCCTTGGCTCACCAGCCCCACAATCCTGCTCTCCTACAGTAGCACTAGTACATGAACCAAAGCACAGCAGTCTGGTCATCAGAAAACAGGGTTCTGCCAGACAATGAATTTAGCTGAGGTCTAGCCATCATTCAGTAAGGTCATACCTCCCTTACTAAAAAGGAGATGCATACAAACACCATATGACTCTTACCTCAACTGGGGGTGTCTCTCCCAGCAACAGGTTATTGAAAATGGTAGCATAATCACCATTTAGATTCATCAGTTCCTCGTGGGTGCCCCTTTCTGTAATACAGCCCTCTTTCATGAAGATCACTTTGTCACAATCAGCCAGGTACTAGAGACAGAGGCAAGGATAACATGTTGTTGCTGACATTTGTGTAAACACATCCAATCATTCACCCCTTGGCCTAATGGTCTCACCTGGAATGGGTTTAGCTCCCAGGGAACATCTGGGGATATCTGGAGACACTGTTGGTTGTTACAATTTGGGGGAGGGGTGCTACTGCCATCCAGTGGATCAAGGCCAGGGATGCTTAGGGCAGCCCCAATATCAAAGAGCTATCTGGCCCAAAATGTCAATAGTGCCAAGACTGAGCACCTCTTCTTTCGCTTACTGTGCCTTGTGATGGAGCTCCAAGTACAGTTCCTCTAGCTTTGGACGTAAATCTCCTGGTGGACCCACGGGAGCTTGCATTAAACTTCACACCCTTTTACTCCACTCAGAAGTACACATAATTACTGACTGTGGGAGAATGGGGGATTAACCCCCAAACTTAACAACATATGCAAAGCAGATGGCAACATTCTTGAGCTGCTGTCCAAAGTGGCTGCTTGTCACAGAATGACAGAGGGAGAAGACCTCGTTTTCCCTAAACAGTTCCCACTTAAATTAACATAACGCTCTCCAAACTATCTCACGCCCAAACTATTTTCAGCCCACCCCTTTCACTTGCTGATATTTGCACAGAAGCTAACATGCTCCATGGATCTCTGATTCAGATAGTCACCTGGTACACTGGTACAAGCTTTATTGGTACAATGGGCCAGGCAGCTATTTGCAGAGGAAATGAATACTGATGGTTCCAGGAACTTCTAGGAACCAACAAGGTACGTAGAAGGACCAAGCCCTCCTTCCTGTCCCTAACCTCTCAAGCCACAGTGGGCAGCTTGGGAAGGAAAGCACCATACCTGTAGCTGGTGGGTTACGAACAGAACCGTCTTGGACTTGAGGTGCTTCTGGATAGCACTGTTGAAGATGTGGTTGCCCACATGGGCATCTAAGGCACTGAGGGGGTCATCCAGGATGTAGATGTCCCGGTCACTATACAAGGCCCGGGCAAGGCTGATCCTTTGGCGCTGCCCACCACTCAGGTTGGCTCCTCGCTCACCAATCTACAGGAGCCCAGAAAGCATAGTGAGGCCACCAGCTTAAATCCAGAGCTGGGCTCAGTGATCACCTCTCCTCTCAGTCACTACTCCTCTCCTGCACCCAAAGTGGCTCCTTCTACTGAATTCCCCACCTGGATGAGAGGCCACTATGATCCTCCAGGGCCCACAACGGAACTGGGGGAGTTAGCCCAGATGCCTCCTTCTCTCCCACACCATCTGGTTACTGATCAATCCTCATCTGGTCTTGCCATTCCCCCTGGGCACCCTACTCCAATCTACTCTCTACGGACAGAATGAGCTTTCCAAAACATGTCTCACCTTTGCTAAAAACTGTTTAAAAGCCCTAAAGGACAGAATCTAAACAACCAAACATGGCATACAAAGCAGGTTCCCCAGGAACCCTCAGCACCCATTGCCAACCCCCCTGGCACACGCTGGGATCCAAGCCATTTTAAATAGTGTATATAATGAACACACATGGCTTCTGTCATGCCTTTTCCTGTACTACATCAGCTCAGTTCTGGCATCCTCTCCTCAGCAAAACCTCCCCCACCTCTTCTTCAGTAACACACAAAACAAAGGGGACTCTTTTTCATCAGCTTATTCTGTGCCTCGTGTGTGGGTGTCCATCCTTCCCACTGCAAGCTTTCTAAGGGCACAGAGTGTTGTCCTTTGTCTTCCCGCCACCCAGAGGAGTCTGCACATGCGGCTGGCACACAACACACACCTGGTAAACGTTACTAAATGGACACGTGAATAGATCAATTGTCAAATGGTAATGGGCTCTGTAATTTAAAAAATTCTTGTCCTTAAATGAACATTCAGTTATTCATTGGTTTTCAAACTGGAGCAGGTATCAGAATTACCTGCATGGCTTGTCAAAACAGGTTGTTGGGCCCATCCCCAGAGCTTCTGATTCAGTAGGTCTGGGGTGGGGTCTGAGACTTTGCATTTCTAATACTAAGTTCCCAGTGTCACAATGCTGCTTATCTGGGACCAGGATTTGAAGGCTGTGAGCTAATTAACCCATTCACCAAATCTGGTTTGCGGGATTTAACTGATGTCAGCTGAATACAAGTGCCGGCCCCAGAGACCTCCAGGGCTGGTCATGGGAGATATCTCAGGACTCAGAGAGCCAGTTTCAGACACAGCTCTGGAAACTGCTCCAGGGCAGAGAACCAAAGAAAAATGGATTTGTATAGCGACCTTTCTTTCTGATGGAAGAGGGCTCTCTACAGACTGCATCTGAGTAAGGAGGCTGGCAGAATGAGGTTCAGGGAAGAAGTTAAATGTGCACATGCTTGACCCACGGTTTTAAAAATGAATAGTGTAGAAAACATGAACTCTGAACCAACAATGGGATTTTGTTTAAATCCACCTGACATGTCCTGGCCAGTTTGGCTCAGTGGTTGGAGCCATGGAGCGTCGGCCCATGGACCATAGAGTCCTGGGTTCGGTTCCCGCTAAGGGCATGTATCTTGGTTGTAGTTTGCCCCCGGCCCCGGTTGGGGTTGTGTGGGTGGCAGCCGGTCGATGTGTCTCTCTCACATCAATGTTCTTCTCTCTCTCTTCCTCCCTCACTCCCTCCTGCTCTATCTGGAGATAAATGCAAAAAAAAAAGTCCTTGAGTGAGGATAAAAAAAAAATTATTAAATCCACCTGACAGGAAATAAGTATATGCTAAAAACAGGTAGTGTTGATATCCCTGCACTAAGGCACAAATACTTTCCTAACATGAAGTCCCAGTGACAGTGAATCCCTAGGAGGTGGCGCTGGCACAGCGCTGTCACCCAGCTTCCAGGATCCTCTCTTACATACACACCCCCACCAGGCGCAGGAGGCTTATACCTCAGTCAGGTCACTGTTGGGAAGAATGGCCAGGTCAGGCCTCAGGCAGCAGCTGTTCAGCACAGAGTTGTATCTAAAGAACATAAAGACACCCAGCATCAGGGACACAGTTGGAGTAGAGCCAGTGGCTTGGGCTGCTTGCACCTCGCACGGCCAAGACAGAAAGCATGAGAGAAACGAAGCATTCCTTGCCTTTCTTCATCAAATTCCTTCCCAAACAGGATGTTGTCTCTCAGAGTGGCATTGAGGATCCAGGCCTGCTGGGCCACATAGGCGAAGGTTCCACTGACTGCGATGCTGCCCTCTAGAAGTGTCATCTAGGGAGACAGACACCATCCAACGGCATCATAATGCAAAACCATCACCCCAAGCCAACAGAACCCCCCCTCACTCCACAATGAAGTGGAATGAAGTTAAAAGTTTTGTCAGTTTCCTTGGATGCTATTTGGATCCAAAACCAGACCTCACCTTTGCTCCACAGAGAGCTAACTACAGCAGCAAAGAAAATCCAAGTTCTCTTTGCTTCTGTGTGAGGGGAACCCAGCACAACCCATGACTTGAATGAACCAAACACTTCATTTAGCAACCTATAAGCTACTTTATATCCTTTCTTCCTAATTGCAAACTGTTTTAATTATGGGAAGCAGAAGCGGAAGGCCCTTGTAAAATCCCCTGGGGAGGATGCTGTAAAGATTTACAGCCTCGGTTTTAGGGCAGGCCAAATGATCTACAGAATGAATCCAGGCTATTGGCTAGACCAACTGCTTCTGTAAAATGAGGACCAAAGGGAAAAAATTCCAGTTAGACATCAACTAGTATTATAGAGTATCCATACAATGATGGCAAACCCTCCCCTCCAACATGGAGAAACTGCATGATGAACCATTCACTTTGAATTGTGTTTTCAGTCACAGTAGTTGATATAAATCGATTTATTCATTTTATCTTCTTTCAGGGTTCCTTTCGGGACTGACTGTTGACAATTTGTCTTGGATTAGGGATGCTATGACTTGGAACAAAGTTTCATTAATCAGCCTGTGTAGTATTTGCACATACAAGCTGGTCCTCTCAAACACCATAATATACAGTGTACACATACAGATGATCACTAAGCCCCCTTCCAGACACAATACTGGTGAGGGGTGGGAAAGGGGGGGGAATGCAGATAAATGGTTCATTTTGTTTCTACTTTTCCTGATTCTCTCCAAGAAATAAATTCACTTTTCCTGAGACTCTTGCTAAGTACAGTCCAGGGGAAGAAGCAGAAAATGCCAAGGACAATAATAAAATCTTACCTGGCCTAAAATGGCTGAAATGAGAGAGGTTTTTCCACTTCCCACACTGCCACAGATTCCAACCAGTTTACCCTGGGGGAAAAACAGAGCAAGAGGGAAGGTCATTAAAGGTCACTGACCACTCATCTCCAGGGACTTCCTATTTCTTTGAGGAAAAACATATTAGCTGCAGTCCATCAATATGAAGACGGCCTTCCTGATCACCAAGCAAGTTACCTCACTCTTTTCTACTTTGTGAGCCACCTATTTCACAGGGTTCCTGTGCAGATACACCTAGCTAACAGATGTGTACGCTTTTGGAAACATTAAATATGCCACACACATTAAGGTATCCCATATCACTTTTTTTTTTTTTTTTTTGGTGGTATGTGCCCCTAGCGGAAACCGAACCCAGGACTCTCTGGACCGCAGGCCGACGCTCAACCGCTGAGCCAAACTGGCTAGGGCCCCTATCACTTTTAAAAAGACCCAGCTCTTTTCCTACTTTGTTGGTAATCTATGTTTTTCTATTGTTTACTTTGTTGTTGTTTCTGGAAGAGAGAACAGCACACTTTAAAAAATATATTTTATTATGATTTTTTTCTCCAGGGCCTATACATTGTTTCCAGTAAAAACTATGTTTACTGTTGTTTCCACTTTTCTACAAAACATTTCCAAGAATCTGAGGACTCTATATATCATCAATCCCACATAAGAGTGGAAAACCAAGCCTGTGATTAACTGAATATCCTCAGGCAAAATAATGTGTCCTCAATGGGCAGTGCTAACAGTTCTCTAGAACAGAGAGGTGATTTTAACAGGGCCATTGTTCAGCAACCCTGTACTGGATGAAGCCCGCAGCAAAGGAAGGGATGAAGGGTGGTGGTGTGGGAAGAGCTGGACCCCAACTGCACTAGCACGTGACAGTTGTTTGACAACGGCCTTGTTACTTCAACTAATACTGTCTCTCTCAACAGGCTTGAGCAACCAGAGGACAAGAGTCATCCTTGTAGAACCAAGCAGTGTGTAGTATTAACAAAAGTATGTAGGACAAAGTTTTTGATATGGTCCAAGAGTTTGAAAGATCACAGCCTGGTAGTTATGAGATCAAATCACAGGTTCAATCTCTGCTCAGGTCAGTTAGGTTTATAGGAGGAAAATTCTGCTCTGCCAACTGAATGGTGACTAAAGGAGACATCAACAATGAAGTAAGTGAAGACATCAGAGGACGTTAAATTCCATTCCTCTTCCTAAAGAGGGGGTTGAGAGAACTATGGTCTCTCTCTTCCAAGAGCTCAAGTTCTGGGAACGTGGGTTCTAAAGAGCAGAACGAGGATCAACAGATAGAAAGTTAGGAGAGTAAACCTCCACTGACCATGAGGACTAATCCTCTAATAGAGCTGATTAGCAATGTGATAGAGCTGCCTTAATAATCGGGATCCTCGTTATTCAATAACAGGCCTGTTAAGAGTTAACTGCAGTAGCCCGACTGGTGTGGCTCAGTGGATTGAGCGTCATCCCATGCACCAAGAAGTCACTGGTTCGATTCTGGGTCAGGGCACATGCCCAGGCGGTGGGCTCGATTCCCAGTAGGGGGCATGCAGGAGGCAGCTGATCAATATTTCTCTCTCTCTCTCTCCCTCTCTAGAAGATTTAAAAGAGTTAACTAAAGTATAAAAGTGACTCGAATGCTCTCGTAACAACCACGAGCTGTTTCCAGTTCTGGTGGTGGTGTCACCAAGGACCATCTTCCCTCTTGGTTGTACCTTTGAAGAACTGGGAGCGTTTCATTCTCCCACAGTCTAGCTCTGGATCTGTGTGACGTTCTTCTAGTCAGTTGCTGAGTAGATATACATCACATTAGAACCCAGTGCCTCTACTCCCAGTGATGTCGGTAAACATCTCTTACCACCACCCCTGGTCCAAGGCACCCTAATGTTTCCCCTAGATTAACTGTTCTCCTTGCTTCCTTCCTGTTTCCCTACGTACTCTTCTGAATAGAGAAGCTAGAATGTTTTTCTCATGTCATTTTTCTCCTCCAAACCCTCAGTGGCTTCTCTCCCCACTCAGAGTAAAGCCAAGTCGTTCAGGAGGCTCTGGCACCTAACTCCCGCTCCGCCCTGGGCATCTACTACTCGGTCCATGTTCACTCTGCTCCAGGAGGAGGCCTCAGGGGCCTTGAGCTTCTGTTCCTTCTGCCTGGAATGCTCTTCTTCCCCAGGCAGCACATGACCCATCCCTTACCTCCTTCAGGTCTTTGCTCAAATATACTTTTTAAATGAGCTCTTTCCCCTCAGGCGAACTATTTAAATTGCAACCACACATGCTCCCGGCCCGGCATTCTTTGCCACCTTTTCTTCATAGCCCTTGTCACCCTCTGACATACAATACACAGCAGTCTCCCCCTATCCGCGGTTTCGCTTTCTGTGGTTTCAGTTACTTGCAGTCAATGTGGTCTGAAAATATTAGATGGAAAATTTCAGTAATAAACAGTTCATAAGTTTTAAATAGTGTGCCGCTCTGACTAGTGTGATGAAATCTCATGTGGTCCTGCTCTGTCCTGCCCTGGACATGAATCATCCCTTTGCCCGGAGTATCGACTCTGTAGACGCTCCCTGCCCCTAGTCACTTAGTACCCATCTCGATGATCAGATCCAATTTCCATACTGAAGTGCTTGTGTTCGAGGAACCCTTATCCTACTTAAGAAGGGCAAGAATAGTGATGCTAGCAACTTAAAAATGTTAAACAGCAGCTGTAAAGTGCTTGCTGTAAGTGAAAAGGTGAAAGTTCTCTACTTAATAAAGGAAGGGGAAAAAATCGTATGTGGAGGTGACTAAAATCTATGGTAGGAACAACTCTTCCACCCTTGAAACTGTGAATAAGGATAAAGAATCCATGTTAGTTTTGCTGTTGCACCTTAAACTGTAAAAAAGTGCTTAGTTAGGAAGGAAGAGGCATTACATTTTTGGTGGAAAACATGAACAGAAAACATATTCTGAATGACAGCAACATGTTGTGCCAGAGAGTACTGAGCCGAATGAAGACTACAGCCAGGAATCCCACAAACGAGGGACACCAAGCCATTGCCTGCAAGTAAGGGACAGTTATACAGATTCAGGACTGGGTTTGGGATGAAAAAGATAAAAATCACTGGAGAAAGAGAGACCCACCTCATTCACACAACAGTGTAGTGCATACCTGCCCTATTTAATTAGGTGTTATTGTTAATCTCTTATTGTACCTAATTTATAAATTAAACTTTATAGAAAGTATGCATGTACAGGAAAAACTACTAGGATTCAGCACTATCCGTGGTTTCAGGAATTTAAAGGGGGTCTTGGAACATCTCCCCAACTTGTTTACTGTCTCTCTTTCCCCAAGAATGTAAGCTCTAAAAGGGCGGGGATTTTTGTCTGTTTGTTTTTCCCCACTATATCCCAGCCCTACAACAGTGCCTGGCATAGAGTTGGTACTCAAAAATGGCTATTCAATGAATGAATGTTTTACTACATCTGGGACCCTCTGGATGATGTAGCCCTCAACATGGTGCTGGCTCCCATGCATACTCTGTACTTCAAAAGCCTGAACCAGGAGTGTCTGTTCCAGCCACTCTCAAAAGGAGGGCCTCTGAGAGACTCTAGTTTTGTGCTGTCTGGGCTGTGATGTCATACACCATATGATCCTTTACTTGCATTAAAAATAAATAATTACAACAGAATTGGCAATAATAGCAACACTGAGAATGCCTATTGTGTTCCAGGTTCTGTGTTGTGCATAGCCTAGTGGTAATGAGAAGCTTAGAGAGTTATAATAACCAGAAATAATCATTACAGCCCACATACAATTACAATAACCAGAAATCTATTCAGGGCTAAAGCTTGGAAAATCCACTTGAATGCTTCATTTCCTTGCTTATAAAACGAGCATCTCAGGAGACCAATTGTTATTCATTTCTATTGTTAAATGCCTAAATATCCCTTTTAGAGGTGGAGCAGGCCAGAATTGCTCATTGGTTCAAAATCACTTCCAGCCACAAAAGAACTTTGCTGAAAGGAAGGGCAGCTGTCAGCTCTTGCCAGAATGGACACCTGGTGGACAGAGAGGGTGTGGGGAGGCCGGGCAGTTACCTCTTCGACTTCCAGGTCGATGCTGTACAGTGTCCTCTGCAAGCGGAGGTTCCCCAGGTGGATGTGCTTGCCCTCTTCCTCCTCGGGACTGGGCCGCTCGTCGCTGTCCAGGAGGAGGTGGCCCTTCTGCTCTGCCAGCACTGCCTGATGCGCAGTGCACTCCAGCTGCCTCACCTTCTCTTTCTTGCCCTTGGCGGCCCTCTTGTCTTTTTTCGTTTTGGGGGTCAGCTTGGGTGAGTTCTGGATACTGGAGTGGGAGGAGTCCCATGCCAACGTGGCATTTTTCATCTCTATCTTGATGTGAGGACTGGCTGGTTTTTCCTTAATCGTGTGAACCTCTTCCATCAGAAACAAACTCTGATAGGAGTTGTGAGAGAGGTGCAAAGATGAGACACTGGATCAAGACCAGAGAGACAAGCCTAGGGCGTACACTCACGTAGCAAAACACATCAGGCTAGACAGTGGAAGGAAGCTGAAGGGCAAAAGGTAGCTCATTAGTGTAGCCCAGCCTCAGGCCCGGCGAGAGGTCCCGGGGGTGTGGGGACACCCTCAGGAGGGACACAGCCTTGTCAACAGCCCAATACTCTGCACTACCAATTACATGCCAAACTAACTTCTCATTTCTTCCTGTCTCATGTGAGCAAAGGACATTTAACTAGCCCATATGCGGGTCCTTGTTCTCACCCATGAGTTGCTGAGTAGCAGTGGGAAATGCGACCAGAAAAACCACAGGGCACGCTGCTCTCCTGCCCCGACCCTCACCACTGTTTCCCTTCGACCACTCCTGCAGAACCTCAGAGCCTGTGTGCTCCCCTCGCCCATGACAGGCGCGTGCCTGCGGGACAGGCTGGGCTGGGACTGCGACCAGGCCCAGCTCGCTCAGGTTAGAAAGAAGTGCCCACAGTTCTATCAGTGGTAGCGGACACGTTCTTGCCAGTAAGTTCTCATGTTTTCAGAATCCTGCCTTGGGACTTGTGGAAACTCAAACAAGCAAAGGAACAGGCTTGCATGGAAGTGAAGGGTACCTCCCTCAGAAACATCCGTGGGAAGAGAACAAAACTCCTTCCCGCTCACTCCGAGTCCCACGGAGTTCTGTTAGGGGAAGAAAACTGGAACACTTCAAAAGCTAAGTGTTTCTGAAATCAGATCTGAAACACTGACCAAACTAAATCTCAGCTCAGGACTTCGATGTGTCCGTGACTCTGAACCCACTTCTGACAACTCACGTAAAACAGTGGTCTTCTCTACAGAATGGTATCCCAGTTGGAGTCCCAATATGATAAAAAAATCTTTTTTAAATGAAAAAATTTAGCACTGGCCAGTTTGGCTCAGCAGTTGGAGTGTCAGCCCACGGACCAATGAGTTGTGGGTTCGATTCTGGTCAAGGGCACATACCTCGGCTGCAGTTCGTCCCCAGCCCTGGTCTGGTCGTGCGGGAGGCAACCAGTCGATGTGGCTCTATCACATCGATGTCTCTCTCTCTCTCCCTCTCTCTCCCACTCTATCTGATGATAAATGGAAAAATATCCTCAGGTAAGGAATAAAAAAAAAATTTTTAAGTAACACTAGAAAGTCTTAGAGAAAAGATAACTTTTTAGAGTCAGAACTCTCCACCTAGTTTCTGACTATTTTAAAGTGTGGTGCTGTTAAATGCATCATATCCCCCTTCCTCAAGAGCAAGCCCTTCTGCTGGATCCTAAACGTCTCGCTTGCTCTTTCCTCCTTTAAATCGCCATACCGCCTATTTATTCCTCCTCCCCAATCTTCCCAGGAGTGGCATGGCTCTAAATCTCCCAGATGATCTTCACACTTAGTCAACCTTAGATCTAATTTCTGAAAACAGCTGTTGGTTTCATTTGTTGAGAGCCTTCCTAAAAGACTGAGCTAAGAATAACATGTCAAATCCTGACACCGCCTTCACACAGTAAACCACATGCTGACAGAGTTCCTTTCATTTCTCTCTCCAAAAGAGTTAATAGAAGGACCTTTTAAATCTCAGTGGATTGCTTTTAAATGTGCTCATGCCTATAGTCAGCACAGGTTCCTTCCCCCACGCTTCCTTCCCACAGGCCCCCTGCAGCCCCTCACTCCTCCCAGGAGGATTTCAGCTCGGGTCACTCTGCCATGACGTGCCGGCTGAGTCACACTTGAATTTACATCCACTTGGATTTGCACCTGCGAGGACAGCAGAATCTCAGAGGTACAGAAACCATAGACCTCAATTTACCACAGGACACTGACCATCAAAACACTACTCTCCTTCACTGAATCAAATCAGAATGTATTTGTTAATCAGAAAAGGGACTACTCATAGTGTTGCCAGATAACATACAGGATGCCTAGTTGAATTCTGATTCCAGACAAACAATGAATACTTTTTCAGTGTAAGTATGTGCTATGCAATTATTAAATGGATGTCCTGTGTTTTTATTTGCTAAAGTGGGCAACCCTATACTGGTGACAATCTTATCAGGAAAGTCACGAGGTAGCTTCTCACTACCTTTGTACAGGTTATCATCTTCCCGAAGGAGGAGAAGGGGGAGGGGGAGGGCAGTGCAGGCAGAAGAGAAAGAGAAGGAGGCTGGAGAGGAGCAGACGCCAGGAGGAGTAAGGTAGAAAGGGACTAGCCCAGCTGGAGTAGCTCAGTTGGTTGAGCGTCATCCTGTGCACCAAAAGGTTGCTGATTCCCAGTCAGGGCATATGCCTGGGTTGTGGGTTCAATTCCCCGGTCCATGCATGCAGAAGGCAACTGATCAATGCTTCTCTCTCACACTGATGTTTCTCTGTCTCTCTTTCACTCCTCCACTTCCTCTCTCTAAGCATGTCCTTGGGTGAGGATTAAAAAAAAAAGAAAGAAAAAAACCAGAAGGGGACTGAAGTCTCCTGGGGCATGTAATGGAGTGGTGGTTTATTTTGCTTCCATTATTAACTCAGAAGCTTCCTGGATAGAGGAAGGAACTATGATGAGAAAAGCCACCTGCTAAACAAGTCCTCACTACAAAGTAAAGAGAAGAGAGCTCTCGAGAAACAAGGAGAGAACAAATCTATACCATAGACTCCTATTTCTTCATCCAAAATGCCACCTAATCCATTCACTAACAAGGAGAAGGGGGCACATTTATAGTCAAATCACTTGCTTTCTTCCAAGACTGGATATTGTGGGTTTCACAAAATAAAGTTCTGGATACAATTAGACCATTTCTTTTTATATGGCCCTGGCTTATGCAGCCGTGTTGGGGTGAGGGAAGGCAGTGGCTAGGGGTGCATTCTTAAACAAAATTCACCTAGTTAATCATAAACAAGTAGAATGTAAATAAATCTTGGGAAGCTATTCTTCAATCTTCCTAAGAGGTAAATCCGATTTGTTTTCTCCTGAACATCTAGGGTGAAATTAATCCCTTGAACAGCTGAGCCTCAGGTGTTCCAGCCACCAACACTGCTTGTTTTGCTGCAGGAGTACAGGGGCTACCCATGCTGGTGCTGTTCCTTTTCCTTTTCTAAGTAGTAATATCTTTCAAATATCTATCTCCCTCCACCCTCCCAAATACATCTTCCTCTTGCATCATGTATTTGTATTATTCTGGAGGCACAAAGAACACAGCCGGGGCATGATCAATGAACCACCCAGGGAAAACCTGACACTTAACTGCGTTTCTCAACGTGATCTGGTTTTATAACTATCCCATGTCACTGGAGTCATGAGTGGCAACCACAGGCCAAGAAAAGGGAAGTACTTTAAAAAGCTTAGCATATTGACCAATCAAAATGAAGACAGCATTTTGGTAGAGGTGGATGGTAGGTCAAGGTGAGGGAAAGCTGACAGTCACCCGACAGTTCTGATCCTCTATGTTTGAATCACTTAAAGGCCCAGTAAGTTACAACATTATATCCATGTCAGGTCCAGGCAGAAGGGACTAGCCTGAAGAGAAACAATGAAATCCTGGGAACCCAAAACTAGGTGGGCTGTCTACAAAAGGTAAACATTCAATTATTTGAAAAAGTAAGTAGTTCCACCCCTTAACTCAGTCTCCTCCACTGGCCCCTTTCTTACCAATTTGCCAAGAGGCTAACGGTGAACAAAAGCCAAGTGCAGCCAGCTGGGTGGCCCACTGGGATGGAGGCAGCAGTTCGTTTTGCCAGGGATGGCTCATGACGTGGAGGAAAGGGGAGCCACTTACCTTAAACCTGTCGACAGCAACCGATGCTTCTGAGAGGGATTTTACTGAGAATGGAGTTACTTTCAAAGCAAAAGTCATGGAATTGAAGACGGTCACCACTGTGAAAGCCTGAAAAGAGGAAAAGAGAAGAAACTGAGCCTGACCAGGCTATACAACCAAAATCACAAGACATCATCAATTTCCCTTCAAGTTTAAGGAAGGTTGCAACTTGACTGTCAAATGTTGGTAGGAATCAGATGCCTCTTTTTAAAGAGTTTTTATGAGAGTTTCAATGAAAAGTCTCAGTATATCTGAACCACAGGATGATCTGTTTCTCAGAATTAAACCCCAAGTTGAGTTGACTAAACACAACCCGTACATTATTTGTGCACCAAGGCTGAATCTTCACTCTTCCACTTCTCGGCTTAATCACATGAACAAAAAAATACCTTCTGATTATTGGGGGAACTTCCAAATCTAGAAACAAGAGGACTAGAGTATCTCTGTATGTGCTACTTCTAAATTTTCCCAAGCCCTGAGGGCTCACCAACCTGTGCTGCTGTGAGGTCAAAGCCAAGGGTCATGTGGACAGAGAATGTCACCACGCTGGCGATCACCATCACGATGGGAGCCACACCAACAGTGATGCTCTGAAAGTACCCAGCTTTTTCCAAAATCCGCCGTTCCTCCTCTCGGATTTCTACAAATGAAAAGGAAGCCAATTTCTAAAGAGCAAACCAAAAGACCTACAATATTGCTCCTCCGACACCCAATAAGACTCGGCAGGTCTCCAGCCACACATAGGTTTCAAAACGACCCGCTAACACCTACAATGCAAAGAAGTCATTTGGAATATCAATTCCTATCATTAAAGCTGGCACACAAGCCTGAGCTTTGAAATGGATCAAATTACAAGAGTGAACCTAACAGCAAACAGCACTACACAGCATTACAATGATCACTTCTGCCTTAGTCTGACTCTCCTTGAAAATTTCTTCTGTTTAGAAGGATCTAACACAATAACTGTATCTGCAATTAGTAGTTAGGTTTGCTGACCTGGCTGTTGTTTATTTGCCTAGGTACTTACAGGAAAGACTACAACAGTAACGGAGAGTTTAAAGGAACTAAGATTTGCTACAGTGCCTACTGCAAGTTGATGCTGGGATAGAGACTTCCACACAAAAAGCTGGAAGGGTGATCAGACGATGAGTGAAATACAATTTTTGTAGACAGAATGATTTTCTTAAATATTTGCAAAACTGGCAACCTTATTCTCAGAGCAACCCTAGAGTAATGAGACCATGATGTAAGAAGTATGATAATAAAGTGGTGAAGTATTTTCAAACAAATTTTTAAACTTAAAGAAATTCTTCTGAGAGGCTATGCACTGACCTGAAAGGTATTACCACTGCTCAAGACATGGGGAACCCCCTTCGGCTAGCTCATTAGTTATATTAAAACTCATTGCTTTAACATTTTTCATATACCTTGTCCAAATCTATAATGAGCAAGAATGCCCTTTTCAAACCAACACACACAGGTAAAGATACCAAAGCTAGGAGCTGAAGGATGAGTGGAATCTCAGAAAGATTATAAAACTATAGAACCTGAGAGCCAGAGGGTCCACCAGCAGTCACTTTGTTAACAACATGCTTGGCAGATGTCCAGTTAGTGTCCATTTGTTCCATTTTATCAGCAACAAACTCTCTACTGAATGAAGTAGCCTAATCCATTGCTGCATGCTTCTGAGCAGTCCTACTCTGGATGACCGCTTACGTATAAAGTTTATGAACTGGACATAAGGTTCCTGAAGGTTTAATCGACAAACCAAGCAGTGAAAACTAAACAGCTTCCTTGATCTAAACACTGTAGTTCTATCCAACCTAAAATTGCATTTAACTTTTTAGCTGTAGTATACTCAGGTTAGCTCTCTATGAGGTTATGGTCAATGGACATATCTTTTGTATTTAAATTAAGTTTATATGTGACTATATCTTCTTTTTTAAACTCTGTGTCTTTCAATATATTCCTCTCTTAAATTTTGCCTTTTTTAAAAGCCCCATCATTCCAACTTTTGTTGAATGCCCAGTCTATGCTAACTATTCCTTCAAGGTTTGTGCTGGTAACATAGATATATTTATGTCTGCAGTGAATTTATGGATCATGATAGGGCCAGGCACTGAGAACCTCATGACTCCACATAAATTAACTGCTTCAAAAGATAAAAATAGGGTGTCAATGGGGGTAAAAGGAGAAACATCTGTAACAAAAATAAATTAGGGAAAAAAAAGATAAAAATAAAACAATAGGTCTGGCCGGTGTGGCTCAGTGGTTGGGCATCGACCCATGCACCAAGAGGTCTCCAGTTCGATTCTCAGTCAGGACACGTGCCCAGGTTGTGGGCCCGATCCCCAGTAGGGGGCATGCAGGAGGCAGCCAATCGATGTTCTCTCATCGATGTTTCTATTTCTCTCTCCCTCTCTAAAATCAATAAAGGAAAAAACAAATTTTTAAAAAATAAAATAAAACAATAGGCCAGAAAACCCTGAGTGCCAGGTCCAGCTGCCTTGCCCCTCGGCCCAGCACTTCTCCCAGAACCCCTTCCCAGGGGTCTCACAGCTAACTACCTCTGGTGCACAGGCCCCCACAGAGCACAGAGGGCAGAGTGGAGCTCTCAGCAGCCACTTGGTACTGGTTTCTGTGATGTCACCATGGCCAGACCAGAAAATTATGGGCAGGACAAAAGTATAGATAGGGACCCTTGAAACTGAATGAATTACTCATAACTAGTTGAATTATCTTGGGAGAGGGGGAGAATCACAGTTTTCTCAGGCCTCAATGAGATGAGGTATGGGAGCAAGTTGCTAAGATCCCTATTGATGTAAAGTTCATAAGACATTATAAGAACATGTGTTATTACAATCCTACGACTTTAGGATTCCCGGTAGTTAATGTGCTCAGAAAGCAGAGAAGCCAAAGTCCTTCTACCACATGCACACGTGAAGTCTGTAAACTCACTTTGAACACTTTGAGAAAATGCTTTGACCCAGGCATACATTTTAATAAATTTAATGTAGGTGAGGACTTCATTCATTTTCTGGACGCGCTCATCTGTGGTGGTTACACATTTTCTCCTGAAATATGCAGTGATCCGTGATACAAACATCTGGAAGAAAAAAGATGTTATGCCAAATCAGAGCTTATCAAACTTAACTGTCTAGTCTTTCTGGGGAATAAATCTGTTTAAGATTATTATGTAGTTGTATTGTTTGTTGTTTTTCTATCCTCACCCGAGGACATTTTTGCATTTATCTTCAGATAGAGCAGGAGGGAGAGAGGGGGAGAGAGAGAGAAACATCAATGTGAGAGAGCCACATTGACTGGATGTCACCCACACGACCCCAAACGGGGCTGAGGACGAACCGCAACAGAGGTACGTGCCCTTGGCCGGAATCGAACCCAGGAGTCTTTGGTTCTCAGGCCAACACTCTAATTGCTGAGCCAAACTGGCCAGGGCCTCAACGAGGATTTAAAAAATCAAACAGCCTTGGCCGGTTTGGCTCAGCGGTTAGAGAGTTGGCCTGCGGACCAGAGAGTCCCGGGTTCGATTACGGCCAAGGGCACATACCTCGGTTGCAATTTGTCCCCAGCCCCAGTTGGAGTCGTGTGGGTGGCAACCAGTCAATGTGTCTCTCACATCAATGTTTCTCTCTCTCTTTCGATGTTTCTCTCTCTCTCTCTCTCCCCCCCTCCCACTCTGTCTGAAGATAAATGTAAAAATATCCTCAGGCGAGAATTAAAAAATAGTAATAATACAAATAAATAAATAAATCCTCATTGAGGATATGTTTATTGATTTGAGAGAGAGAGAGAAATACAGAGAGAGAGAAACATCAATTGGTTGCCTTCCATACACATCCCAACCGGGGACGAACCTGTAACCCAGGTATGTGCCCTGACCGGGAATCAAACCTGCAATCTTTTGGTGTATAGGATGATGCTCCAACCAACTGAGCTACTAAGTTAGAATCAAATACTATTTGATTCTTATCCCTATGTAAGCAAGCTAAAACACAGTAACTACAGATATTGAGTGCTACCAAAGGGAGCAGGAGAGCCATATCAGTATCAACTTGAGATGGTGTGACTCAAACACTCTTGTGTTACCTGGGGCAGGGTTCACCTGCTGGTCTTCTCCTTCACTCAAACTCCCTCTTTTAAAAATCTTATTAGGAGCCACTGCCTCTATTCAAGTGACACTTTACTTCCTCTCAAGTCCAAATTCTGCCAGTAAGAACCGAGCACTATCTATCTCCTTTTAGACTTTCCCAACCTAGGACCTGCTTGGAGGAAATTTCCAATAAGAGATGTGATGCTTCAGTGGTGCCTACTATATATATAACCCAATGGAAGTAACTTATCTATAGAGAAGCTGCCAAAATACAGCAAGGAAGCTTACTCACCATTGCTGGATAAAAGAGGATAAAAACAGCTGATCCCAGGAAGCCTGTTGGTCCCAGAATAATTACATTATAAATCATGCCCAAGATGGCAACAATGGGTCCTCCAGCCAACAAGCTGCCAACGGCGGCGGCCTCAAACATCCTCTGCCCGTCGTTGGAGCACAGGTTGATGAGCTAGGAGACACAAAGAGCAGTGAGGGGACCCTGCAAGGACGTGGGACACTTGTCTCGGGGAGGATAAAGGACAAAGCAGGGACCTAAGGGAAAGAAAGAGCTCAAGCTGGGAGCTTTCTCTGCCCTGAAGCAAAGAACCCTCACTCACCTCACCCACGGACTTCTCCTTAATGCTCTTTAACTTAAGGATCTTCTTAAATGCCATGGTGAGGATGGCCCCCCGCAAGCGGACACCGGTTCGGTAATTCAATGCCCAAGTCAGTGCAAGTGACCAAGAGCGCACGATCTCTGTCAGGAGGAGGCCCAGGACTAACAGCAAGCTGTACTGGAGGTTAGAATCTGTGCCCTGGGAGTACTCCAAGAGATGTTTCACCATGAAGGCCTACAGGGAGAAACACACACCACTGTCAACATCTGCACAGTACCCACACACCACGCCACAGCTTTATGTTAAGTTAGAAAGAGGAGGCAGCTCCATTGGTCAGTGGCAAGTGTATAAGCAGGGAAATACCTCCTTGGAGGACCAAACATCACTGACAACCTGCCCGCAGTAATTTACTCAGGGCATCTTGCAGGAGTTCTAATTTGAAATGTTCTTCCTTAAGGACACCACCACAACTGTTACTCTTTCTAATATAACATAAACCTGTCCATGAGCTGAAATTAATTCTAAACACGCTGTCATTAAAAAGTATATATTTGACCTTATTCCAGTATCTCCACACATTGATATGTTTCTTTAAATGCAATTAAGACCTTTCTTTGGATCGTTTCAAACGTGCTTATTTGATAAAAAGGAACAGTGTACCTACAGTTGGACTGGGGAAGAGTGAGAAGTGCATTTGCAAAACATTCCTGAAAATAAACATCAGCAGTTTAATAGCACAGAAGGGAGAAAACAAAGCAGACTTTCACAAATCCAGAGACCCTCCCTCAGGCCCTCCCCACTCCCCGCGCCCTCCCAAAAACAAAAACATGTTACCTCAGGTAGCATATGTCTAACACCACCTGCAGTGAGGAAGGCAGCCAGCCCCCAAGAACCACCGAGTGCCACCTCCAGCTCTGAGGTCCTGCAACGCCGGAGCACACTCACACAAGGCACATTCAGCAACAGGATTAAATACCAGGAAGTGGGAGGTAATGTACTTTTATTGAAAATGAAAAAAAAAAAGTACCATCTTCAAAAAGCATCTCACAGACACTGTACAACAGGAGGAGCATTGCGGTAACATACATGGGAACATACAGAGTCGAGTTATACAAGGCTAGCCATCTAACAGGTCATCTGGCCTCTGACCGTTGTTTTAGCTACACGCCGTGGAAATACAGAATAGAACCAGCATCTGTTTCCAGAGTCCGGAGTAGTACATCAAGCTGACAGCACTTAATCGGTTAGGGCTCCTGCCGCTGCAGTGAGTCTGCAATGGAGTAGATTCTCCAGGAATAAAGACCTTGCTGCTAAGGAAAGAGAATTAAAACAAACAAAGCCAAAAATGCTCCAAAGAGGTAACTCTACTTAAAATTGCTGACGCTCTTGGTTCACTAGGCTGTGAGGAATGACTTCTGCTCAGGACAGAATACAAAAATCTAGGCCTCCAGGAAAAACAGGTGGCATCCTTCAGAGTCTTTTCAAGTCTTTGCAACTAAGATCGATCTTGCCAAAAATGAAACAAAACAAGCCACAACAAAAGAAAGCCAAACTGATCCCCCACCCAGAAGGAAGAAAAAAAAAAGAAAGAAAAAGAATGAGAAACCCATCCACCCATCTACCCCAGAGCCTTCTAGTAGCAGGTGCTGTAGCTGGACGCCAGCTCTGAATGACAGACAAAAATGGAGGCCAGACACAACTGTCCTGAAGCAGCTAATGCAGAATTCCAGAACCCAGGCGCTCTCTGGGTTCATTGGTATTTCTGATTTTTCCTGAGAGGAAATGAATACCAGATGTCCACTAGATCCTATGAGATCCCCACCAATCAGATTATGTGTTAAGTCTCAGTAAATAACCTGACCAAATAAATAGGAGATTTCAGATTCCAAGAACTACTGTATTCCACCTTTCCCCTCCCTCAGATTTTTAGGTTTATATCCATTGTTTGGGTCACCACTGAATACAGTCGGGTTGTTGGTTTACTAGCAAGAAGATTGGCTTCTTTTCCAGTATGCAATCCAAAATGTGGAACTGAGTCGCCGAGTGGCAGGGTCAAAACCCCATTTTCCTCGCGTGAAGCAACTCAGTAAGATGGCGATGCAGTAAAGCATTTTCTCACACACCTCGGCTCGGTCTCCAAAGGAAGGCGTGAAAGGACAGCAGGTTGTAGTTTGGGTTCTTTCTTTCCCATACCTTTAGAGTGCCGTTTTTCAGCACCGGTAATACCATTAGTACCTCCCACCGGGGAGGAGCCAGGGAAGGTAAAAGACATAATGAATGCTTACACTATGCAAAACTTTCAAAGGGGGAGGGGGGAAACAGAGGAAACAGCAGATTAAAGCATTTCCAACAACAGGGTCTTTAAAAAGCAATTACATTTCAAACCATTTTGTATGGGATAAAGAAAAAAAAAAAAAAGGTTTTCATGGCAAATCTAACCAAAATTTAGTTTTAAAAAGTTACAATGTATCATGTAAATGTAAACAAACTGGGAGAAAACTTGAGATTGCCATCATAGCTGTCTGGCTGTGGAAAACATTCCCAGTGAATAAACATTACCTTACCTGAACTCTTGGCGAGAGATTCTGCCCAGCTTGACTCTCTCATTCTGACCGCAGAATACAGCCAATCCTGAAAATTCTAAAGAACAGCTTCTGTCACTGGTTCCACTACAGAGAGACTCCCCCCAAATCCAGATTCTGACAGCACCAAGCAAGCTGCAGCTGGAGAGAGGTTGGAAGGGTGGAAAACTTACCTCTCTAGAGGTTTTTCACTGTCCTTTCCCCAAAAGGCCCTTGAGCTGAGTTAGCATTCACCAAGAGATAGCACTGCAGGAGGTAGCCTTCTCTTGCAGATCTACAGGGCGGATGCTAATTCTTTACACACGCATCATAGGTCAGGCGTGGTCTTTTAAAAACTGTTTTAATCCAAGAAGGCCACAGATCAGCTCTGTCAATTCAGCCATTTGGCCCCTCATCTTAGGTCAGGACCATACCCTTAAAGATTCTGGTATTCCATTAACATTATGGTGAGCCTTGGACACCCTGTATAGAGTGCTGGTCCGCCGGCATCACTGAATCCCTGGATCATCTTGATCACAGATGTCCAGCCCTGGCTGGCCAGCAGTTTTAAAGCAAAACACAACAACTTGATTGTTCCACCTGTTCTGCATATGGCTAGCAAGGTTCAGTGAGGCCTGAGGGGAGATAAGATATATGCCATATTTGGGGAGTGGGTTCTCCTGTAGATTTCTTTAAGAACAGACTAAGCCAGTTTGAAAGTTGTGCCATATTAGCAAATGAGCAAAAATCGAAATGGGACATTTCTTGAAAGATTTAATCCACAGACAGAATGTATGCACATGGCTAGTACTAATCTCAAAATCAGCCTGCTTCTTCTATTTCCAATTGAAAAGAAATTTATTAGAATTGAAGCTCCAAAAAAAAAGAAGTATGTACTCTTTACAATTTTAAATCTTTTTATCAATGAGAGAGACTGTGGACGGGACCAATGCTGTCTCAACTGTTCTAAGAGAACTAGATGAATCTCATGAACTAATACAGGCCTTCAGGAGCACTTCCCCAAGGGCAGAGAGAAGGAAAAGCATGCTGCTGTATTCCTATTAAAGGAAGACTCTCTCAGCTTTCCCTGGCACCTAGAAGAAGTTACTAATGATTAGTATTTTAGTGAGCTGTGCTTAAAAGAGATATTAAGGAATACACAGATGCTCAAGGGAGTGATGGTAAGGCCCCGAAAGTGAACATGCATAGGTAATTTTTTCCCTGAGTAAGAAATTAAAATCCCAACAATCTATGGAATAGTATTTTTTTGGTGAGGGGAGCCAAAGACGTTCCTGCATCGGCCGAATGCAATCAGAAAGCCTATACAGCGTGCTACCCAGTTGAAAGAACTCTATGAAGGATCAGAGCAGCCACCAGCCCTGTAGTGAAACAATGACAGAAGCTCTTCTTGGGGGAAGCTGGCCCTACGAAAACGTTTGCCATTCTGGTCGAGAACATAATATTCAGTTACATGGTCCTTCTTACTTAAAACTTACACAAAAATGTGTTAGTTGATCAATTAACATAGAAACCCAAAATAGTAGTGTTTTTGCTTTAGAAAAGAGATCAAAACTTAATAATAATAATAAAAAAAAGGCATCAAACATTTTAAAAACACACACACACACAAAAAAAACAGCAGAACAATTGTAAATTAGTTTTACCTAATCACCATTCATCTTCGGCACATACTTACCAAAACCATGAACCTCCAGCTTACCCACACACGGAAAATGCACAGTATAGTAGCACTACTGCTCCGATGCCTCAAGGCAAATATGTAGAGAATAGATTTAATGGAAGGCTCAAGGGTAAGGCAGCACAGCAGGTGTAAGAAACAGGTGTCCAGGAGACAGGGCAAACATCACTATTACCTACTCTGCTTTAGTACACACTCGGAAAAAACCATGGCTGCCACCCGACACCTGCCACAGTTTACACTACAGACCAAACTGGAAATGGACTCCTGGTTAGACTCTAAAAACCTCAACATTCCTCTAGTTTCTTCAGGACTATTTTGTCACAGAACCGTCAAACGTGACAACTCTGCCTCCAGGTGTCGGCTGCGCCACCAGCTCCAGCTCAACAGCCTGTGCCACACAAGACTGCTCTCGCCCACTCACAGCACTGAGACACACCTTCCCGAACCACGACTGTCGTTTCATGTCAACACACAGCAAAGGAGCACAGTCCTGTGCGGAGCCAGACTCATTCAGTCTCACCCCCACCCCAGGAAAGCAAGCCAGGTCCATTTCTTTTCTGGCAACGCGGCCCCCACATCCTTCCAGCCACTGACAAGCCACCACTCACTCCAAAATCAACTGTTCCCTTTCCACAGACCTGGAGGCATCTCTAAGGCTGCTAACTAGCCCAAAGGTGAGCACAACCCCTGCAAGAGAACAAGAGCGTTAGAGCTGGCCATGGCTGGGCCCCTGGAGACTGTCGGAAAGGATGGTTAGAACTTACTGGTCCACTGAAGCCAGCCAGCTGCGTGATCATCAGGCACACGATGGAGAGGATGAGCCTGGTGCGGCAGAAGATCCACACAGCCCTTCGGAGGGAAGCAGCTTCTGGCCCAACTTCATTCAGTTCTTCTTGCCACAGTCTCTCTAGTCTTAACAAGGGCACATGTCCTCTGTTACACATCTCCCCAGGGAATGTCCACACCCCAGCTTCCCTCCTGCCATTGCTTTTTGACTCCAGGCTTTGACACCACTCACGTGAGTCTTTCCTTTCAAGTTATGTACATAGCCTTCACCTTCTGGAAAAAAATACCCTCCCTGGGTGACTACATATTTACCCTGCATAGGGAGCCTCTCAGGATACAGAAAGTGATGAGAACAAAAGTCTTTCCTTCCACCCAGAAAGATTATCCCTGCATAGCATTTGTCTGTGGACAAGAACTTCCTTTCTCAAGGGTCCCCAACCCTTTCTGAAGGATCCTGTGGTAAAATGTAAAGTTGTAAACTAGATTATGATAATCGGCTACCACAAAAATGTATCCTGTCACAAGGCAGCAACATAATCTCCCTGTAGACTCAGGAAGAGAAGCGGGGCTGAGAGAGAGAGAGAAAGCCCGTGGTTAAAACAGGATTAAAGGTGAAATAGGAGATAAAGCAGAAGAGCAAAGAGAAGTCATCCCAGGCTACCCTCCCTCCATCGGCTAGCACCAATCCTAGAAGGACACAGAGCTGAGAACTTCACACTGCCGGACCCACACTCCTAGTTCAGGCCCTACGCATCCAGTATGTGGGACACTGGGGTGGACCAGAGACGCCTACCTTCTGCAGTTCACATCAGAAGACTCGTACTTGGACAAAGACCACACGTTCTCCATGGAGAGCTCCCCCTTCTTGTGGGCCAGGCGGGCCAGGGGAGAAAGCCAAGAAAAAGTCATAGAGGAGAAGAGCCCAGCATTGTCCACTGGGTGCTGGTGTCTACGGAGAGAAACGCAAAGCACAAAACTGTCAACACACATCGAGAGGCCAGCCAGCATTTATGATACATTGTTTAGTAAACAGAGCTCTTGACTAAAAACAGGGCTCCCCAAATGGTCTAATCTTCGCCTGAATTTAAAAAAAAAAAATATTTTTACTGACTTCAGGGAGAGGGAGAGAAAGAGAAACACCGATGAGAGAGAAACACCAATCAGAAACAGCTGCCTCCTGCACACCCCCTACTGGGGATCAAGCCTATAACCCAAGCATGTGTCCTGACTGGGAATCGAACCAGTGACCTCTTGATGCCTGGGTCCATGCTCAACCACTGAGCCACACCCAGCCAGGGATCCACCTAAATTTTCAACACTGCTTTTGGTGCTTCAGGGAGCAGTCAGCAACCAGGAGAGCCTCTTACTTGGAAGTGGTCCGAATGGGCTTCAGAGCACTTAAGCTGTGATGGTACTTTCCCTTCGGATGTTCCTCATCCAGGATTCTGAGCTGAGAATGCATACAGACATCCAGGGAAAGGCCCTCAGCTCGAGCTGCTGTTTCCAAGGCATCTTGGCATTCCAACTGTTTGAGCAGATAGGGAGAGAAGACATCAGAACATCAGACCATAGACAGGAGCAAATCCACGTGACACAACAGCTCAAACTGCAAGCCAGATTCATCTTAACTGAGAAATTCCACGATCAGGGGGTTAAACATCAACTTGTATGGTATGAAATTGCTAAGGAACATTAAACCAGATACCTAAAACTTCTAAACAAATAGACTTCATTTTATTTATTCATTTCTGAGCACTTCTAGGTTCAGAAACATCAAGCAGAAAGTAGAGCGATATACCTTCTCATTTGCCCCCACTTCTCCCCATCTGTTTCCCATTATGAATAGCTTGCATTACTGTGGCTCACATGCTACTGATGAGCCAATGCTGATACACTGCTATGGACTGAAGTCCATAGTTTACATTAGAATTCACTCTTTGTGTTATACATTCTAAAATTTCTATTTTGTCACCAAAATGTTTTATCTTTCATTTCCCAATATGGACTGAGGGTCAATTACTTCACTACTAACTGCAAATTCTTTTGCCCGTTTTCTGTGACAAAAATTGAAGTCCCCTCCCCCTCCCCCCCAATTAAACAGCCCTGTCATGCAGAAAGAGCCAGGATGTACACGTGGTCTCCTATCTTTCCCTCGTATCAGCAACAGGGAGAGCAGAACAGGGTTCTCACCCTGGCTTCAAATTAAAGCATTTCAATGCCCAGATTTCTGCAGAATGAAGCAGAGGGCCTCATGAGTTGAAATACAAAGTTATACATATTTTCTATAAAGCATATAAATATCAATTAATCAGATGAACAAAAATGCATGTAATTCAATGTCTGACTGTGGTAGAAGAGGGTGGGCCAAGAATCTATTCCCATTTACTCTAAAAGTAACTCAAAGCCTTCCTGTTCCAGAAGCAGGATCATTTTTCCTCAAGTAAGGATTATAAATACATCATCCTTTTCTCATATTATCAGAAATCTTTCCAGCAATTACTGTGAAATAGAGAGAAAGAATACATCCCCAAATTGAGAAAGAATTAAGAGCTGCAGCACCTAACACACTGTGCCTTACACAGAGTTTCTACTGTTACACACCCACCCTCTTTCCACAGAGAACAGATGTCGAATAGTAGATGAGCTGAAAGAGCAGAACTCATGCACAGGGATCACAGGCGTGGGCACCTAGGTGGATCGCTCCTCAAACACAGTAGCTTTGGTTCACAGGCTATGCACTGCTGGTTAGTATCAGGAAACTACACAGACCAGGCGAAAGGGGAACACAATGTTTTTCCATTTGTCAAAGGCAAGGCAGACCAGTTTCGAGAGAATAACAATACAATGACAAATGAGTCAACCAAGAAAAGAATTAATTAACTCGTACAAAGTCCTTAGGCATGAGGTGAACCCTTACTTAGTGGTTAGGGACTATGGTACCCAACAATGAACTAAATAAAGGCTGCTGAGATTCAAGTACACACAGAGGTTTTTGTTGTTGTTGCTTTTTTTAAACCTTTAGGCTGCCCATAACCACAAGGGGAAGAAAAGAAAACCATTGGATTGTAAGTTGGAAAGAAGAAAGTAACACTAAAAATACAAGCATACCTGCTATACGGAAGTAAAACCTGGGAATATGTACAGAGCAGGCACGGAATGTTACAAGGACCAGCCTTATTTGGATATCCAAAGCTTCAGAAGAAGACACACAATGAAAGTAATACCACTTCAAGTGCACATTGGATGGATATCTGCCCAAATGGACTATATGCTGGGCCACAAAGCAAACCTCAAAAGATTGACATTATATAGTGTGTGGTCTCTGACCACTTGGGAACTTAACAGAATTTAGTAACAAAGATAACAAGAAAAATCTCCAAATATTCGGTCATTATGCAACATACTTCCAAATAATGTGAGTTAAAGAAGACATCAAATGGAAATTAGTAAAAAGTCTGAGCTAAATGGTAAGAAATTGTAACACATCAAAATGTGTGGGATGCTGCATAGAGTGAAATTGTGAGTGCCTTAAAAGCATACATTAGAAAAAAAGAGAGACAAATCAATGCTCCAAGCTAGCTCTTGGCAACATTTTCTATAATAGGCCAGACTGTAAATACTTTAGGCTTTGTGGGCCAAGAGGTAAAATTGAAGATATTATGTAAGTACTTATATTTCAAAAGAAAACAAATTTCCACAAAATGTTTACTGACAAAATTCAAAATACAGTAATAATAACTGGGTACAATTTTTTTTTTTTGTAATACAGGTCTACTAATAAGAAGAATTCATTCTTTTATAGGGGAATAATATGTCACTTAATTGGCATTTCAAATGATTTTCCCTTTCATTAAAATTGATTGCAAATCTTCATCTGTTAATGCTGATTTGTGACAAGATTTTACAATTTCGTCTTTGAAAATGTCTTTTCACATGGATAAGTACTGTCAAATACCAAAAAGCAATCCATGAGTATATGACTTTAATTGAGCATATTTATCTCTTGGAAGGCATTATAGAATTCTATTAGAACTTTCTCTTGACATTTGCCTTCATCATGACATTACATTATAGATTAAGCACTTCCAATAGAAAGCTGGGTGGAATTTACTGAATGGCTGAATTAAATAGACTTTTTTATTGTGGCAAAATATATAAAACAAAATTTGCCTTTTTTTTTTCCTTTAATTCTCACCCGAGGACATTTCTGCATTTTATCTTGAGATATAGAGTGGGAGGGAGAGAAGGAGGAAGAGAGAGAGAAACATCAATGTGAGAGAGACACATCGAGGGATTGCCACCCACATGACCCCAACTGGGGCTGGGAACAAACTGCAACCGAGGCACGTGCCCTTAGCAGGAACTGAGCCCAGGCCTCTCTGGTTCGTGGGCCAACGCTCTAACCACTGAGCCAAACCGGCCAGGGCACAAAATTTGCCATTTTTAAGTGTAAAGTTCAGGGACATTAATTCTATTCACAATGTTGTACAATCATCATCTATTTCCAAAATAAATGAATCTTGAAATACGGAAATTTCCTTTGTACTTTACTGAGGTTCTGAAAAACATTGCTAGAACTGTAATTTAAGCTCAGATATATATACACCCACTACAAATTTGTATGGGAATGGAGATCTCACTTCTTGTTTTGACTTTCAGCAGCAAGAGAGGTACACAGGGCAGCGGTACATTACTCATGCTTCAAACATTGGCTGTCATGGAAGGCACTTTATCACAGCACCATTTTACATGCCTACTGGCTATGTTTGGGAGACCCCGTTTCTTTACATCTTCATCATCACGAGATTGTCATTCTTTTTTAGTTTTGCTATTTGAGTAGGTGTGGCTCGGTAACTTATCATGA